TAATCATTGATTTTGAACTATGGTACATTTAATTCGTAAATTGAAAATTTCTTCAAATAAAATATCTGATTTGGCACTTAAAATTTGCTCAATTTTACAAATTACAATCTTTGAAAAGAATATTTTTAATATATTTTGAAAAATTACAAGATTAAAATAGATTAAAACGAAATTTTTTTTTCACCTAACGATTTTTAGATCTAAAGGAAACTATGTTTTTTCCTTCTTTGAAACTGAGTTAATTTTCAATTCTGTTCAAATTCATATAATCATTTTATGCAATTACAAAATCAAAACTTGAACTATCAATTAAGAACATTAGAACATTTCCTTCAGAAAGCAAATATAAATAACAAAACTTATCATTTTGGCAGTTATTTTTCCAGTTTAATTATAGTTATTTCTTTAATATTATACGAGAATTTTTTCAATTTGAAAGAAATGACTCAGAAATAAATCAGACAAGCAATAATAAAATACATAATCTGATCTCAGATAAAATAGATAAGAGACAATAAATCTGAAGGCTACAATATAAACTGTTCGATAATTAAAAACATAAATTATAATTAGTTAATAGGCATATTTAGTTTTGTCGTTATCTTTATAGTTATATCTAAGTAAATCAATTAATAAACTTAATTTATTATTCTACAAATGTTTAGAAAGATGTGAATGCTTTATAAGAGTTCGAGTTAAATCTTTTATTTTAAGCTTTTAAAATATTTGCGATTTCTTCACTGAAGTAAAAAAGTTTTATACACATACACATATTTTCTATCCCTCTTTTGAATGTAAAAAAATGTACCTAAGATCCAAGTTTAGAGTTTATTTTACTCTGCACTAAACAATTAAAAAAATGAAATAGTTTTTTTTTCAGTAAATATTAAAATCTATTGGTGAAGAAAAAAACAGAATTGTTTACTAAAATTTTAAAATGAATGAATCAAGGTGTTTGAAATATATATTATTTTGCAATCACATCAAGAATTCGTATTTACGTGGAGATAAAAAAAATGGATAAAAATGAAATTGTTTTAAAATCAGAAAATAGATAAACGTTTAGAAGACATATAATAAACGAAGAACATTAGTGTTTCTTTTCATTCTTTTTCATAGAAATTAGTCGAAATCAGCCATTTTTACAACATTTTTCAAATACTTTTCACATTTGTTAACCAATAAATAAATACAGTAATAAAAACCTCATTACCTTTCTTATTACTCCGATAATAACAACCTTTCTGTACGAGATATTTACTTAGAAATAATAAATTTTTGTTTATATAGTTCTACGTGAACAAAATGCCGCGCAATAAAAAAATAAAAATCGTTTTGAAAAGAATAAATCGTTTGAATAAGAAAATATTTTTTGTACGAACCCAAATGAGATTTAAGTTTATTGATGACGATGATGAAGCAGCGATAATTTCATAAAATAGAACTTTTAAAATTAACAATAATAATAATCGATATCATTATAATACTTTCAAATTATTATGCTATGAAAACAAGTTAAGTTATTTTTCTCTAATAGTTAAAATTGATTTAAAATATTCATTTAAAAAAAAATGACGGGGGAAAAATAAATTAACTGCTCTTGAGCGCAAACGATTTTTTTCTTTTTTTCTTTTGCTTTTAACACTCAACTTCAAATAACTTTTTTCTTTTTCTATTTTTTTAAAAACTATCAAGAAAAAAAAGCGGAGGAAGAGAATTGAAAAAAGAAAGAAGGAAGAGAGTAAAAAATACAAAAATGAAAATTTGTCTCAAAAAGCTTTCCACCTACAGAAAAATCTAAGAAACCATGACGTAACCTTTTCAGCAAAACAAGCAGCACATACCAAAAACACGAGAGAAAAGCTTCAGTAGAAAAAATAAATCCTTTGCCAAAACTCCTCTGTTATATAAAATTTAAAACAAAAAATGTATCTCTGACGTCACAGGTCAAGCACTAGGGTGAATCTTGAGATTCCCTCATCAAAAGGAATATCAAATTTCATATTTCGCGTACGTCATGTGAACTTGATTGCACCATTTGTGTTAATAATAGCACCTTTTGTTAAGAATAAAAAACGCTACTTATTGATTCCGGAAAGAACTTTATTATATCAGTGGGTCAAACACTTAAAAAGAAAAATACTATCTATTATATTTTATTTTCTTCTTCAACCGTTATTAGATTGAATTAGCGACTATCTTCAATGAGTTAATTTAATAGTAAAACGAAACGAAAGCTAAATTTATTTTTCTAATTATTTTAATGTTTAAAAGTTTTTCATAGTACTTACTTTAAAACTAAATTTTATAATTACTTATCTCGAAAAGTGTATTTAAGAAAATACATATCATGATCGCGTCTTATTAATTAGTTCCATACTATATATAAATACAGAAAATAAAACTGATTAGGATATATCTTTAATAGATATTATAGACTGGGAAGTAAATATTTCATTTTTTTTCTTTCATGAAATGTAGGATTAAATTTGAAAATTAATTTAGTACATCATGTGAAGTGAAAATCAAAAGCAATAATTTCTATTCTATTTTTTTCGTAATTAAGTGTTTTTTAAATTTCAATAAGTTTTCTTAAAAATCAAATATACTATGCAGTAAGCAATTTTCGATTGTGTTAAACCAAAACATCGTGCAAATTAACAGAAACCTTTAATACAAAACCGGACTGAACCTTATTATTGAACAAATCAATTCCTCGCTACTTGATAAAACAATACTTAGGTTCAAATAGATCTGAAACTCGGTTCAGTTTTATCTCATGAAATTAAACTGAGTTTTTTTAGTTTTCAGTTTTACTTTAAATTTGAGGGGAATGGATAGGTTTTAAAAATGCGCATAAAAATATGAAATAAATTAAGCTGAAGGTAAATTAAAAAAAAAAAAATCATGTTTTAAAGATAAACCTATTTTTTATTTACCAGTTTTAGAATGCATATTCAATTAACAAATAATTTTCAATTAACAAATAACAAATAATAACAAATAACAAATTATGCATAATTAACAAATAACAAATAATGCATATTCAATTAACAAATAACAAATAATTTATAAATATTTTAAACTTTAGATTATTTTAAGGAAAATGAAATGAAACATACGAAATAAATTAAAAATTGAGCACTAAAACGTGTTTCTTTTTAACTAGCATTATTGTTAGACAATGTATTTAATTTTATTTTAAAATAAATAAAATATTATATTTGCTAAATTTGTTACGAAATATTGCAAATATTTTGTATATATCTCAATTCTAATAAAAAAAATTATAACTTCTGTTTAGTGAACTAAAAAGCATTATTAAAACACATTTCTTATAAGTTAAACTGAATTGAAAGAAAAAATATTTTTTAAAATGTAAAGAATGGAAAATTATCACGAAAAATATGAAGAAAAAAATTTGCATGAAGCATTTTGAAAAGCAGTTAATCAGTTGAAGTTTTTAAAAATTATTATTTTTATTTACTTTCAATACACTATTATAAAAACAAAGTCTTAGGTAATTTCCTTGGTTAAACTTATTGGTATCTGGCATTTACAAAATTTTGGCGAGCACAGAATAATTGATTTTATAAAATTGTATGTTATTTAAACTAAAATATTATATTTAAATATCTATAACAAATATTATATGAAATATTTAATATATTTAAATATTATTTTTAGTCAACACGTATTTATGAAATTGAAAAATAGAATTGCTTCTTAAAATAATAAATTATTAATCTCTATGCAAATTAATAATTAAAAACTAAAATTACGCTTTGCATGCAGCAAATATTTTTATTTTCCAAAATATATAATTAGTAGTTAGATTTGTGATGGAGAATAAAACAGAGCAAGAAGATGTAAGAAAATTATTAGCATTATTATTATTGTAGTCATTCATAACTTTTTAAAGAATCAATAATTTCATTAAGTTTAAAATTTCTCCACACAAATTTCAAACTTTATTAGATTTATAAAATGCGGGTGTAAGGGTGCATTAGAGTAACAAGCAAGTGCAAGAAAAAAAATGCACTACAATTTGACATAAGTGCACTTGAACAAATTCCTTGACGGACAGAGTAAACATCTTTTATCAACTACAATCAGCATCTGGTACTCCCGCATAGACTTGCCGTTTCGCGCCTTCAGGCTAATTTGTCGCTTTCAGCAGCATTGCTTTAAATATATGACATTACATATTTCAAGCGCACTTTGAGAAGCGAGATACGTGCACTAACTTACTACCTTGCAACTTCATCTTCATTTCTTTGGAGAGTTAGATTAAGAACAAATAAATTACTAGTTCCAACCTCACTTAAAGTTCAGTATAATGGGAAAAAAATTATCTCCTCCCATGTTCATACTAATTTCAGATGAAAAACGTAATATCATATCATTATTTAAAAGAAAACTTTCCGTCACTATTTAAATACAAATATATAGCATTATTTAAATATATGAAGAAAATTAGGAAAGTAAATTAGGCTTTTGTGTCTAGAACTGGTATAATTTCGGAAAGTTTCAAAGTCTTTAATTGTACATAACTTTCTACTAAAAGGGTAATATCAAAAGCATTTTCGTTCTAATAATATGAATTAAAGTAATAGTCACAAAATGTGTTAGATACTGAAAATGATTTGTTCTCAAAAATCTTAAAAAATCACCATCGTAATATGAATCTTTTGCTAAGCTTTTAAAGTTTAAGAAATCTAAGAGACAAAAAATTTCCTATTCTAAAACAAAAAGTAAATGAATTAAATAAAATAAAAATTTTCTTTAAAGAAAAAAACATTTAAAAACTCTTTGGAGAAGAAATAATTCGTTCAGATTTGTAAATTTCGTCGTTTCGTAAACGATAAATTTTAAAGAAATTAAATTTTTTTTTCTTCATTTGCATTATAGTTTTTAAATATTAATTATGTTGAACTGACCTATGGTACGTCCCATATTGGCCAGAAGGGATGCGCATGCAGAAGAAGAGGATGGCCCACCTGGTCACCGGACTGTGGCTGGTCAGCAAGAGTTAGATATACCCAATTCAGCAGCTGGGCCGGTTGATACACCGACGGATCTATGGATGCGAGTGAAGTCATCCTCGGATTCTCAAAGAGTCAATCTCTCAGCTCTCAAGCATCCTCATCTGTCGCCCTCCTCAAACATCCCCACTCTAATCCAGATGCTTTCCGACCAATGGCGTCAGCTCAGGAGAAGATATAAATATACTTCACTCATCAACACAACTTTCTTTCTTTTTTTTTTACCCTCTCTCTTATTCTCGTTAAATCGAGATCTGTTTTCGTTGTTCCTTTTTTTTTATCCAACTTAAAGGGTTTTTCACCTTATACATAAATCACTTCTTTTTCTTTTAATTTAACAAGGTTTTGCTTTTTTCTCACTCGTTTTTGCAACTGACTCGTGTTGCTTGTTTTTCGGTAGGATTTAAACTAAACTAAACTCTTTACTTTTGACGATTCAGCATTCTTTGAGCTGTGTTTCGTTAATTGTGAAAATCACTTCGTTGTGAAATCACATGATTTATGAAGAAAAAAAAACGCGAAATTTCAAATCTATGACGAAAATGTTTCCTCAAGTCGGAACCTCATCACAGTGCATTGTGAGAGATCGAAAATGAAGTGATAAAACAAGCCGACCGGACTGTATGGTAATCAAGGAGTCGACCTCGTACCAGGAAGATCTCGGGTGCGGACCTCGCTTCGGGCATGAGTGTAATTTATCTCTCTGGTCCACTTGTCCTTGTGTTGTTTGTACGACATTGATCTACCTATATGGTGCCCACGATAAAGTGATTATTAGAAAAATTAGATACATTAGGCGCTATTTTTTTTCTTTTTAAAAAAATAAAGGGACGAAATGTTTCTTTTAATTTTGACGAATTTCGTTTATTTGAAGAAGTGACGACAGTTTTCCCACCACTATGAGGAAACTTTGACTCGGAGTATGTACCAGGAAACGGTTTCGTCAGAAACGAAGAAAGTTTCGTTAAATTTGAGTATCCATTTTTTACAGTGTTGAAATAACTACATATTTACATTTAGAGATATAGACCGCGCACACCAAAGCCTAAAAGCCATGTTTTTGTTTTCAAACGGCAGCTGTGACATTGCTGCCGTTTTCTGAAAAGTGGTATCTATGTATAATAAATTGGCTATATGATATAAGATGAGGTCGCTTATAATGACCGCCTGGCGGAAAACAACAGAAACATTAATACATAACTAAATAGAAATATTAGACACGTAAATAGGTATAAATAAAAAATTGTACAACTAGTTACAAATAAAACTTTCGAAACTCTTATAATTTTTAAATTATTTATTCTATCGATTTGATTTCAATCTCATTCGATTCGGTGGGACAAAAGATGTCAGAAACAATACGTCATTTGCTCCCATAGCAAAGTGCGTAATAAGTATAAAATAAGTCTAAGCTCAAGTACATAGTATAAGTCTAAAATTGAACTTTTAATTCATAAAATCGAATAATTTCTTAACTTTAATTCCCATTGACTTGTATTTGGCTTCATTAGATTAAGTCAGAAAAAAAAAGTGCATAGCACATAACATCTGAATAGCAATGTTTATGTTTTCTCAGGCCAGAAAATTCAACATTCTGCCAAAGCGTTAATCCGGGGGCAGACAAGTTTCAGATATCCATATTTAATCTCTATATCATAATCTTTACAACATTTTCAGTTTTCCACTAATTGTTCCTGTAATCAGCTACTTAGGAACTAAATATATTGTGGTTAAATATAATTTAAAACTGTCTAAAATTTATTTGAATCAAATATTCTAACAAGAGGAAAGCAGAGAGCATGTTTTAAATTTCAGAACTTGTAAGGATACATTAGAGAAAAAAGTTTTGAAGATAAAAGATTACTGGTAATTCTAAGTATATAATACATATATAAAGTCAGAATTTTTTTCTTTTTCTGAATGTTGAAAACATGCAACAAACAGTACTTCGATTAAAAACTTCATTCGCTTCAAAAATAAATTAATAGAAAATAACAGTCGACGTGTTTTAAGTGCTAAAAAATCGGCGCCCATTTTCAAGACTTGTATTTTTTTTAAAAAAATACGTTATATATAGGTTTTTATAAAAATCTTAACATTTAAGGTCTTAAATAAAATTTTAGGGACAAAGGATTAAGTCCAGTTATAGTATTAGTTTTAAATCTAGCAAATATTTATCAATCTTAAAATAAAGCATAAGTACAAAAAAAAAAGTTAGTTACCTTTCATTGAAAACTATTATCCTTTCAGTTTCATCCAACACCCAAACATATTTTTGACAATTTTGATTGATTGACATCAGTAATAGTTTGTTAGATTTGGGTTAAGTTTTATTTCTTAAATATTAATTTATAAACCCTTATGTATTATCTCCTCAGATTTTATTTATAAAAAGCATTTATAAAAAAAAAAGTCTTCTCTACATTTCATAGCTGAAAAGTAATGTATGTAGAACCAATTTGTCAATGGTGTGATATGTTACAGTATGATCTTTTGTATGTAAGTAACTTTCTAGATAAATTAATATTGTTGAGATTTATTAATTAAATTCTAATACTTGAGGCAAGAGATATGAAATAGTTAAAGGATTTCAGGATCGGCCTTGTTCTTAATAACATCTGCAAAGGAAGGGGGCCTAGTATTGACTGATCCTTTTCAATCCATTCACTGACACGGTGAAAAGTCCCAATTAAAGGCCATCACGTTATTTCTTTTGCAAGATGTTTTTTTAAATGGTAGTAGTCTGAATGTCCCTTTCAATCAATTCGGTATTTTTATTGATGATTGGGTTTTGAAGAGTCCATTTCAAGGCAGGTTGGGAAAAAAATTGGCTTTTTTTTAAAGACTGGTTTTTATCAAATTGCAATTTTTCTATCTGGTTGAATAAATGTCATTACTTTTTCAATTATGCCTTTTTACACATATCCATGGGTGATTGTGAGCCCAACTCAAAAATCCTGAAAATTTCTTGAGTGAAATCATTAATGACGCATTTCAAAAAATTTATGTCTTTATAAATTCAAATTTTTAATATTTTCAAACAGGAAATTCTAAATAAATAATATACAGCATAATTTAAATGGATAATAATGTATAAGTTTACTTTTATGTCTAAATTTATTATATACACATTTTATAATATACACATTTATTATTGTACTATAAAATATTTAATTTATATTATATTATAAATATTTACAAATGAAAGAGCTGCCAAGTATGAATTCTAGTTCCAATATTTTTAAAAAAAATATACCAGAATTTTTATACATAAATGTGATTAATGATTTCTTGAAACTTCTGGACTTTGGGTTTCCGAAAACTTCCGGATCGCAGTTAGAGAAAAATCCGGATTTTTTTTGGAGCACAATTATTTCTGAATATCACTTATACTTACAATAAAAGTAGAATTTTTTTTTTCTTGAACAAAGTTATTACAAGACCAATATTCTTAGGAAAAAATATTGCACTGTTAGGTACCTCAAAGTGAAATTAATCACCCCCTTTTTCTTAAACTTTTTGGAGTTTTTTAAATTAAATTTCCTGATTTATTCACATTGTAGCCATCCTGCAAAGACACTTTGGGATTGAGAAGATAGGGGGGAAAATACTGTTTCTTGGGTTAAGATTAAGTGAAAAACAAAGTTATAAAAGTAGTTAATATTAAACATAACATTAATTTTCTCGATCGTTAAAACAGTAAATATATCTCCACATTCATTCTCTTTTTAGTATGTTTAAAATGCATTAATAACAATAATCTGTACCATATTTATTTTTAAGTTATTAAAACTATTCTGTTATTTAAGATAATTACTAGTTATTAAGATACTAATTTTGTTAAATTTCAGTTATTTAAAAAAAAATAATAAAAATGCTGTTTAATCTTTAGTGTTTTTATTTTATTTCGTATGCAATCTTATGTAGTCTATGTAAAAGGATAATGGCTAGCTAGATAAAAGATATGTATAAACAAGGAAATAAAAAAAAAACACACCATGATAGACAAGTTTATTACAAAAAATGAATAAAAAGCTTTCTTGCCACCCAAGAAGCTAAGAGCACATTTCTTCAGGCAGCGTAACATATTATTTTAGGAATGTTANAGTATGATCTTTTGTATGCAAGTACCTTTCTAGATAAATTAATATTGTTGAGATTTATAAATTAAATTCTAATACTTGAGGCAAGAGATATGTAATAGTTAAAGGATTTCAGGATCGGCCTTGTTCTTAATAACATCTGCAAAGGCCTAGTATTGACTGATCCTTTTCAATCCATTCACTGACACGGTAAAACGTCGCAATTAAAGGCCATCATGTTATTTCTTTTGCAAAATGTTTTTTTAAATGGTAGTAAAGTCTGAATCTCTCTTTCAATCCATTCGGTATTTTTATCGTATGATTGGGTTTAAAAAATCCATTTCAAGGCAGGGTGAAAAAAAAGTGCTTTTTTTTTAAGACTGGTTTTTATCAAATTGCAATTTTTCTATTTGGTGCAATAAATTTTATTACTTTTTCAATTATGCCTCTTTACACATAACACTTATACTTACAATAAAAGTAGAAAAAAAAATTTTTTTGAACAAAATTATTAAAAGACCAATATTCTTAGAAAAAATATTACTATGTTAGGTACCTCAAAGTGAAATTTAATCTCCCCCCCCCCTTTTTTTTCTTTACTTTTTGGGTTTTTTAATTAAATTTCCTGATTTACTCGTGCTGTAGCCATCCTGCAAAGACACTTTCGGATTGAGAAGATAGGGGGGGAAAAAATACTTTCTCTTGGGTTAAGGTTAAGTGAAAAACACGTGACAAAATAAAATACATTATAATAGCAAAGTTATAAAAATAGTTAAAAAATAATAGTTATAACAAAGTTAGATTAATAATTATAAAATACACATAACATTTATTTTCTCGATCGTTAAAATAGTAAATATATATCCACATTCATTCTCCCTCTTTTTTTTTTTTCTTTTTTTTTTTTTTTTTTTTAAGANTTAGTATGTTTAAAATGCATTAATAACAATAATCTGTACCATATTTATTTTTAAGTTATTAACACTATTCTGTTATTAAAACTATTGTGTTATTCAAGATAATTATTAGTTATTAAGATACTAATTTTATCAAATTTCAGTAATTTAAAATGATTAATATTAATAAAAAAGCTGCTTAATCTTTCGTGTTTTTATTTTATTTTGTATGCAATCTTATGTAAAAGGAAAATGGCTAACTAGATAAAAGATATGTATAAACAAGGAAATAAAAAAACATACCATGATAGACAAGTTTATTACAAAAAATGAATAAAAAGCTTTCTTGCCACCCAAGAAGCTAAGAGCACATTTCTTAAGGCAGCGTAACATATTATTTTAGGAATGTTACTTTTATATCAGGTATTTAAAATAATAAAACCACAGTGAGCAATATTTAACAATTGTAATACTGTAAAAAAATATTATTAAATTTTTTTTCTGGAAAACAAGGAATGTATAAATATATACCAGAGAATTTTTAAAATCACCAAGAGTATATCATCATTTTGCACATAAAATTAATATCAAACAAATTAATAATAAAAACAGTAACCAAATGTATAAATATACTTCATACATAAAAAAGGAACATATAAGAAACTACTTTTTTGAACTTATTATACAAAAATAATAATTTCAATAATCCAATAAAATGATCAAGTGATATAACAGAGATATACCTTAATTTAAAAGTTCAAAATAGCAACCAATAAACAATTTTCGAGCAATGAAAAAAATGTAAATAATAAATTTTGTTCTGCTGAAATAGCGGATATAATTTATGGTAGTTCAAAAACTGCTCAATAGAATCAATAATATATACATACATATATGATTAGTTTTGATTAATGTAGATTTTTTTTTTTTGTTGAAAAAGATATAATTAAAAAAATTTGTCTGAAAAATAAAAAAAATGTCTAATAATTTTGTAAGCATGCACTAACAACAATCTAATCTAATTTCTCTCCTGGTACTAAATAAACTAATTTTTATCTTATTCAATACTGTCAGCTCATATATTCTTTACTACAATAGGGGTTCTTAACTTCTTTTTAAATCACAACTGAAATACAGGCTCAACTTCCAGTTTTTCATGATCCAGTTTTTATTAACCATTTGATGCCAAAACCAACTCCAAAACCTTTAAAATGAAACTGAATGTATATGGCTCACATCTGTAACTGATCTCTGTTGTGCTTTTAAGTTTTTTACAAGAAATATATGATGAGTTTTGCTTTTGCAACATGATTGTCAGCAATAATATGTTGCAGTTACAACCAGGGGTTTACAAAGGTTCAAATTTTCAAGTCACGATGAATTTTCGCATGGCAGCAGGAAATAGAATTGAATGTAAAATAACATTTTTGTATCATTTTGAAATTACATGAAGACAACTATTATTTTTAATTTAGTATTGTCTAAAAATAAATAAAGGAATCAAAACCACAGTATAAAAATTTTTTGTGAACACAATTTATGAATTGCAATATCACATTACATACCTGCATAATATACTATGCCTTTTTAATTTTTGAAGAAAATCCTGAGCAGTTTGGTTATGTTGAAAAAATATAAGAAAAATCATGTTAAAGCTTACTTAAATTTCGGGCCCTAGCTATGATGTTTTAGGCACCCTAGCAACCAGGGTAGGGTTTGTAGATCCATACCTGCCAACTTTTACGCATTTGGCGAAAAAATTTATTTCTACATTAAAAGTGGTAGTAAAATGTATGCTTACTATATATTCCTTGCATTTATAAACTTAATTTATTATCTTTTTGACCGCCACTATTTTTAAAAAAATTAAACACATATATTAATATGCAACTGAGTCGAGGTGGTACGCAGAAGCTTTTTCAAAATACAGCGAATGTTTCTGCCTTAAATTGCAATTCAAAATCTATTTTACTACCACAGGGGAAAATCATCCTCGAAAGAAATAAAAGTTGGCAGTTATGTAGATCCCTGTTTATAACCCTTTAAGTAATAACAATACAATTTATGAAAACATATTTTTGTAAATGCTCTATTTGGAAATGCATGAAAAAGTCATCCTGACCATTAGAATGGATGTCTATGAATGTGGTAACATGGTTAACAAACCACTATCTGTGCAAGGTCATCATAAGATGGAATTAAATGAAAGGAGGTAGTATTTTTGTATAGGAAACCATAGAATGCAATAAATGTTTGTTGGAACAAAGACAACTATCTCAGTAGCAAGAAGTATTTTTCAAACAATGTATGAGTTTTTTTTTTTTAAATGCAATTATACATATAAAAATAAGATATCCTTTAAATTTGGAATTAATTTTTCAAGTATTTGGCCTTCAGCTCATTATAGACACTATTTATTTATTTATTATGAACTCTGCTTCATGAGGATTCTTAGAAAAAAAATATTTATATTGGCATTTTTTTAATATAAATAACCTTATCTAATTTTATTTTATTAAAAACTCTTTTGTGTTATTATTACATGCAAATATGTAATTATTTACATGCAAAAATAATATGAAAGATTATACGCAATCTTTCTTTAAAGATGTTTACATTGCATGTATATTACGAATATAAAAAAGATAACAGCACACAAACAGATATTGTTTTTGAATCTATAAATTTAAACAATATGGTAGTCCAACGAAAAAGGTGCATAAGTTACGTCTAAGTCAGATTGTGACTTATATGTCAAGAACCCCTGTACTAAATCATTATCATTTAGTATTATGTATCTAGTGACACTAACTCACTAACTATACAAATTTACAACCATTTCTACAAGAATTTGACCTTATTAGCAAATCTTCAATTTTTCATGACCCAACAATTGTGCAATATATACAAATTTTTATCAATTTTTACAATATATAATTTTTGTTGATAAAAAATATAGAAGATAATAAAAAATATAAGAAATCTTAAAATTTACAGTAAGATAAATATTTTCTAATCAAATTATTTTACAATTCAATAGTTAGAGAGAAATCACATTATTAACCGGGTGTTAATCATATGTAGTATTGAATTGTAGTTACAATAAAGTGTTATTTTATGGAGTTAAAAATTAAAAAAATATATAAATATATATTTAGTTATGTCAAAAATAACAGCAAATCCAAGACAAGAGATTCATAGCAAGTTATTTACAAAAGTTTCAGAGGTTTGAGCACAGTGAAGTGTTCTTAAAAATTGATTTTAAAGTTTCAATAATTACAAATATTTTATGTTGGAATAAAAATATTGATAAAATCTATAAAAGCAAAGTATTGTTGAACAAGCTACTTAATAACTAATGTTGATTTTCTTTACATATAAAATAAAAAGTTTATTTGTTTATTGAATAGAATAAAATTTTAAAAAATTGTTAACAGTGTAAAAATTTAAAAAAAAAAAAAATCAGATAGATAAACATTTAGAATATATATACTTTGAATTGTATAAATATAAATTAGATAGAATAAAAACAATAAAGAGTGAAGTTTACAAAACTAGCAAATCTTCAGATAATTTCGTGATTGTAAGATTAACATAAAATAAATTAGTACCTTTATCTGAAAGTTTGCAATGTATTATTAAAAATTATTTAAAAAATAATAAATTTTCAAATTATAAGTAATGATAAAAAATGATGAATAAATTAGATATTTTGTAGTTACTTTCAAGTTAGGGCTAAAATATAGAATGCAAGATATAACTTAGAAAATTTTTTACAATTCACAATAATTATATATTTCATTAATAAAAGTCCAGTCAAATTCTTTAAAATATGTTTTTAATAATAAATTGAGTAAATAAATGACAGAAATTTTTTGATTAACTAAAAACAATTGTAAATTTCAAAGTCATATTCTACTTTTTACAACTGTTCAAAAAAATTGAAATCATATATAATTAAGGTTCAAGTCAGTTAAGATCTTACTTTAAAATTCCTATTCTAACGTTAAAAAAAAGAAAATAATCAGCTGCCAACTTTTCAAATTAAACCTTAAAAGATTACACAACTACAGTTTAAGTGGCATTTCATATAAAAACAAATGGATTTGAAATAAAATGCAGTAATTCTACTTTATTGAAGAGAAGAAAAAAAAATTGCATTTTTAAAAAAAAAATAGCTGCTATCAAAACTAACGACGACCTAGCTGCACATAAATTTTAAATAAATTAGATTAACAATTTAAATATAAAAAGATGCTACAAATACATTTTTCAACCCTATAGTTGAAAGGTCTTGAGATTGACAGGGGGAATTGTGCAAATCCCATAATTTCCATAGGTAACTTAAAGAAGTGCAAGAAAATCTTCCTGTTGGTTATATCTGAGAGTATGTTCATGATGTACTTAGCAACTTGTTTTAGCTTGCAAATTGTGCAGATTTTAAAGCTTTAAATTAGGTTATGACCACATATGTAGATATTATTACATATTTCTTTGGCGAATTTTAAAATAATTTTATAAAACAATTGAACAGGTAATGTTAAGGTAAAAATGGTAGAAAGTAATAATTGGAATTAATCTTATTTACATTATGGTATCAATTTAAATTATAATGTGCTACACTGGCTAGGTGTGCATTTAAAGACACGTATATGGCTTTAAATTTATAAAAAGTTGAATTATTTATAGGATGATGACACAAAACCATAAAGCTTAAATAACAATAAACTAATAAGTGTATAATGGACAGCAATAAACACATGTATTGAAAAAGAATGCATTCTACTTAGTAAGCCTATTACAAAATAGCTGCATACAGAAAATAGATATATTTAAGATTCAACTATTTTTCAAGCTTAGAAAAAGAATATTGTTTTTTCATAATATCACACATTTATACTTATTAAAATTGAATGCAAATTATATACATTCAAATTAATTTTCCCAATACATATCTAGAAATATTATTAGTTCACTTTACAAAAATATACTAGGTCACTAATAGAAATCTGCCATATATCTAACAATTTCATAATACAAAAATAAAAATGTTATAACTCAACACCATTTTACAATGAAGTTTAACACAATCACCAGCATAGAATGATCAGTCTTTTAAGATATCATCACATTATACACAGATAGTTGGGCAATATAAGTATTATCAGAACACAAAAATGAACAGTTTATTTACATGATAATAAAGAGGAAACTTTGGCATAAGTAAAAAATGAAACATCTACCTTTTTCATAGAATATTAACTTGAATAATAGAACTTCTCATATTTTTTATTCACAAAAGTAAAGAAAAATATGTCATTTATAATAAATGTTTTTGGAATTTGTTTAAAAGCAGTAAATGTGTTCATTATATTTAATTTAACTGCAGGGATAATTTAAACATGTAAGTTTAAAAGAAAGTTATTATTATGAGAAGTTTGACTTTTCAGAACATAACATTTAAATATAGAAAATGTTAAATAAACAGGTAGTTACAACAACAATTAATCACACCTATAGCTTTATACATGCTTTTAATCTCTCATTTAAAGTGTTTTGTACACTGATAATTTGTTAAGAATAAATTATTGCAGGAAAAAAAAACTGAAAAAAAAAAAAGAGAGTGAGAAAAGATTTTGAACTAAAAAATAAACAAATGCAAGTTGAAATAAATGCAAGTAAAATTTTCCAAATTCTTAACATCCACATTATTTTAACAAAATTGTAAAGTGATAGATTGCAATCTTTTAGTACGCTAGATGAATATAATTAAATTCTAACGAGTTACATTAAGCTAACAATATTATTAGGTTTTCTAAATTAAAGTAAAAGTTTCTAAAACAGGTAATAACAGTTTTATAGTCTAATAATATTTTCTGGTGCAATACGTGAAATAAATAATAAAATATTGTTTACACATTTGTTTACGATTGTTTATACATTTTTAAAAATTATTATTTTTATTTTATGAAATGTTTTGCAATTTTTTGATAATGTTCCTGAAACCTGTCAAGTTCTGAAACAATACTTTCCTCAATTTGTGATGCCTGAATATATTGTAACTATTGGTCCAAATCAATAATTTTAGTAGCAATTCTTCAACTTTAAATTATACATACTCTAAAATATCAATTGAATAAGGGAAACTTAAATGTGCTATCTGATTGCTGCACTGCAGAATATTAAATAAAATTATTTTCAAATGTAGTTAGCAAGTTTTGCTGGTGGAAAAAACACTTTTAAATGTTTGTTTTGCTTTTTAATATACAATTATGGAAACATTTATGAGTTATGCATGCATGATTCTAAAATGCTAATCATTCCAGCTGATGTTTTTTAGAACAAAAAGATACTAATAACAAGGTTTGAGATAAACATAACAAAAGAAATGTTTAAAATAGACGGAAAAATATCACGGACACCTACAATCTTTCAAATCCAACAAAAGTGAAAAGACAAAAATGAAAACAGTTTCACTCTGACAAAAAAAAAAAGATAACTAAAAAATATGCAAATAAAATAGACATATGAGGTAAAACATTAAAAAGTATGAAAAAGGAATAACATATTTTTGATTTAAAAGAAAACATCAAACATAATTTTAATTCATATAATGTGATTTTTTTTTGCATTCTGTCATGCTTCTTTTAAAAATATAAAAGTCAATCACTCACACATGTTTTCTGTGCACAGTATCCATGGCAGTAATTAAAATAAGACACTGAAGACAAGTCACAACAATCTCTATAAAATGTAAGAGACTTCGGAAAAATAAGAGCATCTCCATACTAAAATAGTTATTGCCTCACTAAACATTAATTCCCATTTAGGCAGAAGGATGATTGTAGAAATCTTTTTAAGCTGCTTCGAAACAATTTATGTTTTATATATATATGTATAGATTTATAGCTACAATATACTCTATTATTTTTATACAAAAGTAGCAAGAGCTGATGGAGAAGTTGCCTGACCATCATTTCTCTTATCGTATTGTCCGATGAATGATCCATCCTCTTTAAATTTACCCATTTCACCTTCACCATAGTCAGCCATGCTGTCTGTGTCACTTTCTTGACCCTTGTAACTGCTAGTGAGGGATACACGACTGCCCCTTGGTCCAGCATGCGTTTCAACTCTAAAAAAAAATTAGAAACTCAGTTACATTGATAGTAATGCTAAGAAAAACATAAATAAAAACCTCTCTTAAAGACCATCACCTTTAAACAATACCAATTTCTATTTGATACATTACTGTTTAAAGAAAAATGAAATGACAGATGTCAGTTTTTTTCATATGCCTTTCAAAAAGTTTGACTACAAATTTTATTCCAGATAAAAAACATCTTTATAAAGAAGTTTGACATGTTCCAAAAAGTTCTTGTACCACAGAACAAAATTTATATTAAACTAATCAAAAAGCTCGTACTTAGACTGTCTTGGATAACTCATAATGTGGATAATATGATTTGAGAGAAAAATCCAAAGTATTTATTATGGTACTTAGGTGGGTGTTTATGGCGAAGGCGAACAAAATTGGATTTATATATAATTCTTAAAGACCCCGAAGTTGTGAAATAGTTGAAAATTCAAAGGATAAAATAGGAGGAATACCTGGTTAGAATGCAGAAAGATCCAAACTACCAAAAACTATATCTAGCCAAGAATAACTAGAAAAAGAGGCAAACCTTGCCTTAGATAGATTGACAGTCTAGAAAAAGACATGGATATTCTGAAAATTGGACGAAAACCAAAAACTGAGAGATGCCTGGTAAAGATTTCTGGAGAAAGCCAGAGCTCACTCACGGCTATTGTGCGATTGAAGAGGAATAGTAATCTGATTCCAATTAATTCAGATTCTACTGTATCAAAACATTTACGAAAAAAGAGTAACTAAATAATATTTTTTTTGTGAAATGGTAAAAAGATATACAGCACTAATACATATTACAAATATTAAAATTTCCATGTACTTTGTTAAATTAAAAACCTCTTTTCTGAAACAAAAGACGAAAAGTACAGAGTAATAATATATACATAGCAAGATATAGAATGACAGAGTAAGTGCTTTCAAAACCACAAAAGCAAAACTGTTTTCTAAATAACGAAGTGAAATTATGAAGTGTTATATATTGGGTCATTATTTACAGAAAACAATTAAAAATATATTTTAAAGAAAGAAATTTAGCCACATACGGTTTACTGTATTCACTAAACCCTCCGTCATCTGTGTAGTCTACATCTCGTCCCTGAGCTGCTTCTTTCTCATGAACAGAGTATTTTCCACCTCGATTTCTCTTCACTAAGCACACAAGTATCAAAAGCAGAAGCAGTAGTGCTATGGCACACAGCATTCCAATGAACCAAGCTGCTGTAGCAATATTTTCAGGACCTTCAGGTGCCGCCATAACTAAACACAATAATTTGTTTTTTAAAATAAAATAATGCTTAAATCTATTAACATGTACTGTTACCACCACATATTAAAAAGTAGTAGCAAGTTCATAGCAAGTAAGCATTCATAATACGCAAAAATAAAAAATAATTACTTTTTAATTTTAAGCGTAACTAATAACGCTAACTCATGATCAGTATTACCAATTAAATACTAATTTATGAATATTAAAATGCAAATTTCACTCAAAAAGTTGCTCTTAGAAAACAGGATTAGTATGAAAATATTCATCTCTGCTGTGATTCCAATAAAAAAGTAAAATCTTGAATTCCACACGAAATTTTTGGAAGGAAAATTAAAAGAAACCCAAATTCAACAATAATTTACTCTGTACTTAAGAATGACAAAAGTTATAGTTCATTAAAGTAACAAGCTCTTAAGATCCCACATTACACAGTGCATTACTAAAAACTATCAATACAATTGCTTAGCAATGATAATTGTAATAGATTAAAATTTAAAAAAGTTAAAAGTCTAATATAGTACCAGAAAGTTACAAGTATTTCATACCTACTTTAATACATATATTATTTATTTTAGTTTTATATAGAATTTAAAAATCCATATAACATAATATCAAAGAGCTGGTATTGATTATAAAAATTAGAATGCCATTTGAAATTGCAATCAATATGCACTTTAATATTCAACAAATTTGTAATTTATATGTTTAACAATTGTTTCAGGATTACAAAATTCAGTTCTACTATACTCTTTTTAAAGAAGAACTACAGTTGAATATAGAAGAACTATGAATGAATATATCTTCTATAGAAGAACTACGATTGAATATATCTTCTACAGAACTACCGTTGTTTGAATTACTTAAGAAATTCATTAAATTTAATTTTTTTCCCGATTGTCATTTTTTAGTTTTTACCTGTAGACTTATAAAACAGCTTCGGAAATTAACAAAATTAATGCAATAATAAACTTTAAAAAATTTCTTTAACATTATATATTTCTTTTTCAAAAAAGTTTTTCTTCCATTTCCTTTATTTGGGTTGAAAAAAACTTGTTATCCTTGTAACCAATACTTTAAAATGGTTTAGTAACAGTTTTTTCCAATATTTCAAAAAGAGGCAGTTTGTATTAGATGATCTTGAATGGAAAATCTGATAAATAATCATATGGTATTTTATTTTACTACTTATAAAACTTTAAAGAACATAAAAATTTCTAAATTAAGTTTATTGCTTCCAGAAAGACAATAGGTGTTATAAATTTTAGTTGCCTGATAAATAATCGACATATTATTATTTCAAAAGATACTGTATGTCTAATCACAAGGCAATATTACAGCTTTTTATAACATAATTGGTGATATCAAAATCATTGTAAAAAAATTTAAAATCAGAGAAATGAAATTTTTAATTAAATGATATGATTAATTTAAACTAAAAGAACTAATCTTTAAAGTGAAAATAATTAAATTTTCAATATTTGGACTGCAATAGTCCTTAATAAAGGATACTGCAATTCAGACCAATATGATTTATACATTATGAAAAAATATGATTTGGCTGATTCTGCATCAGAGGAACAGTTAAAAATTATGATTTTACACAGGTTTTTTTAAAGGAATACGAATAAAATTATTTTTCCAGTAAAAAAGTTTTGATGTTTGAAGTTAAAAATCTATATAAGGATTTTACTCACCGTAGTGTTTTTTTGGGGAAAAAATCACATTATACAGACTTTAGACGGGTTTAATTTTTTATTGCTGACATGAAACTCTTGCATAAATAAAACTTGGCTGTTTTCAAAACTTTTAGACACTAAAATTCATAAACCAAATGAAATAGTTTCTGTTCATAGCAAAAATTTCTCTATATAGTGATTAGCCTATCATGATTTATTTCCTATCTTATGGAATTTAAATACTTACACTAACTTAAAATGTTTTAGTTAATGTTAAATGCTTAGAAATAACATTAAAGTTCTATTATCATCGAAAATTAAAACATTTTTGTTACTCAAATAGAAAAAAAAATAGTTGGAAACCAGATTTAAATTATAATGGCCCGCAAAACATTACTAAAGTACTGAATTTCAGAGTAATAATTCTTAAGTGAATACAAAATTATAATATTAGCAGCAAAATTTTTAACATCACATAGAGCTTTAAATATTTCTCTACATAAATAATAATTTTTTCAATTTAAGTGCACCACATATTCTCTCCATTTGTAAATGGTTTTTCTTCATATAGTGTTTGCATTGTTACAATCCTTGAGACAAGCATTAGGTTTCATTTTAATAACTAATAAAATTTTCTATCAATTGACAAGTAGCTAATGCAATGTTTTTTCGTTGACATTTTTTTTTAAATAAAAAAATTTACGCATGTTAAATAAAAGCTTAAGTTGAAACCATTGATTAAATTTTGATTAATTATTGACTACATAACTCATTTTATAACAAATCAATATTAAATATTTCACCTAATCCACCAGTATCGATTTCTTCTATGGCACTAGGTGTTTCAAATGTCCCATCAACAGCTACAACACGCATTTCATATAAAGTTCCAAAATCTAAACCTTTGACAAGCACAGAATCATCATTCTCTTCTCTAGCTGTTTCGTCCCAATGACCTTCCCCTAAAAAAATAATTAAACATTATTTATTAAAAAGATATTTATTTAAACTATATTGCATTTGCTAATTATATTAATATCATATTACATGAATTGCAAAATTACATGAAATGCATGCATTTATATATATAGTACAATAAATAAAATAAATACAAAAAGGAAAAGAGAAAAATGAAGAAAATCATTAAGTTTTTTTAAAAAATAATTTTCTTTTTTCTCTCATTATTCTGTAATTTTTTCCATGTTTTCTCTACATTTTGAAATCTTATTATCAGCCAGGTACTTATAATATTATTTGAGAATTGCAGTCACAGTAAAGTTACAAGTTAATTGCAGTTACAAGTACTACTCTATGTAGTAAAAATAAGAGCTAAAAATTTTATATATAGGCATAGAATGATATTAAAGGGAGTACAGTGCCCGCCGCTAATAAAATCACCGGATAATAAAATCAGCCGCTTTATAAAATCAAATCGGCAAGAACCGAATCGTTACAATATTAATACATGTTAAAAACATCTTTTAATAAAATCAATGCCGCCGCTTTTTAAAATCAAAATTTTGACTACATAATAAATCAAAGGTGCAATATTTCAGATTTTTTTGTTCTTATTTATAAAATTTTATTTTTTCGAAGTTTAAAGATTTTTTTAGAAGAAGCACAGTTACTCACAAACCTGTGAAACAGGTGTGGTTAGCACTTTCCTGTGATATACATAGTGTAAGAGTTAAGGAAAAATGTGGGTGGTAAGCGGCGAGTTCATAGNCTTGTATAGAATAGATAATGAAATATAAAATTTTACCTTTTCTTCTAAACTGTGCGTAGAAATAACTACCAGGCTGACCATCAACAGCTGGCACCCATGTAACCAAAATACCAGCTTTTCCATGCTCTCCAGGCACATGAGACCATACAAAGTTAGGAGGATCTGGAACTGAAGATTAATAACATAAGTTTTACAAATATAGAGGGTTGGATGTAAAAACTGCAAAATTGATTTTAAAATATATTGAATGTCAAGAGCTTTATGGCTAATATGAGTTTTTTTTTTAAAAAAATATTTATTTACATTTGACATTCATTACTCACAAGCAAATTATTATATGGAAGAATTAATATAAGTAGATAGATTAGTAGATAGATTCAAGTAGATAATAAGTAGATAGATTAGTATATAATAAGTAGATAATAAGTAGATAGATAGTAGTTAATAAGTAGATAGATTCAAGTAATATTTACCAATAGTAGATTGAGCATTAGTTTTCACTTCGATATAATATGGATCTCCCTGTCCAACTTTGGTAGTTCCATGAATAATCAATCTATATTTTGAATCAGGTTTTAAACCAGCTAATTTAGCTCTGGTTTCTCTAGGGTCACTTATAGCTGGTTGTCTTTCAACAATAGTTCCCAAAGAAGTTCCGTCAACTACAAATTATTAAGTAATTGGTTACTAAATTTAGAAATAAATAAACAAATACTTGTGGCAAAAAGAAGCACAATTTCGAAATTTATTTTTTAGTGTGGCTTCAGGTTTAAGTAAAACCTTATAGAAATGTCGGCAGCAGACCTACCAGGATAGAGTTAAATCAAAAACCCAGATTTTCAAATGAATTAAGGTATATCAATTTTTTTGTGGTATTTAGATTTTTGAAAGCTGAACCTTATGGAGGAATTGCAGACTTAAAAAAAAAAGAGACTAATAATTAAAGGCACAAAAAAGAGTATCACTAAGTCAAAATGATGCACATTGAAAAAAAATAAAAAATTACGAACACAGCGTAAATACCAAGGCTCAATATGAAATTTGGTTTAAAAATAGTAATATCTCTTTATAAAGACACTTTGATGTAGTAATTCAAAAAAAATTAAATAAAATTAAGAAACAAAACACTTGGCAAGGAAGAAATGTTATACATAAAAATTGAACATTTATAAATAAATAGACCAACTACAAATAAATAAAATAAATTCATTAGACCAAAATAATATTTCACCTTCACGGAAATAAATTCTGTATCCAGTAAGGTTGCCATTAGGTTCAACAGGGCGCTTCCAAATCAAATAGAATGCACTGGATCCTAAAGGCACAGCTTCAAAATATGACACTGGCCCAGGAGCTTTGAAAGAATCATACAAAAAAGTAATATTTTAATCATTTATTCAATCCTACAAAACTTCTATTATGTTTAATTAACATAATCACATATTTTACTATCAAATAAGAATGTTCTTCTAGTCTAAAATCACAATTATTTCATGTTTTTCAGTTTTTTGAAATTAAAAGCAAATGTTCATCTTTTCCCCCCCCCCCATTTATCCAGGTAGCATCTACCTGTATAAATAAATTTCTAGAGGGCATTTATCTGTTTTCCTACTAAATAAAAAGATTATCTAATTCTACATTCTTTATAGAAGAGCATGAAAATAAAAGAAAAAAATCGTTCCTTCCCTGAAGAAAGAATTTTACAAAGAGATTGGAAAACAATAGTAAATAATAAAAAAAATTATAGTAATAGTAAATAACAAAAAAAATTATAGTAATAGTAAATAATAGAACAGAAAAAATAATTATTTTCAGAACAATAATTTTTCAACACACAAGTTTTATTTGTAATCCAGGGTCGCCACAGAAAAAAATTAACAAAATAGTTGCTTTTAGTAGCCTGAAGCAGGAAAATAGTAGCCGATAACTATGAAAATAGTTGCCTAAATAAGAACACAAATTTAACAAAAATATGACTAAAATTTTGCTAATGACTTAATTGTCATATACAATGATCCATTTAGTTAAGTTTGTGGCAAATATGATAATTTTTATATAAAAGTTAAAGTTCTAACACTATTTTCCCTTTTATCAATAATTGATCTAGGGAATATATATATACATACATATACATTGTGAAAAGTGATTAGTCAAACTCGAAATTCACACATCGTACAAGGAGTGATCAAATGAAAAGGTACGAAACGACGTAAAAACGTAACAGTTAAATATTTGCATATTCCGCCATGGGAGAACGTAGCGAGACATCTCGAGATGCGATTGGAGTCCCTGACTGGGATCGGAGCATGAGCGGGAGCCCGCATACGCAGAAGAGAGCAGAGGCTCTTATCAAAAGCGGCGTCCAAATGATGCGGCAGACCGTATGAGGAACAGAAAAAACATAAACTCCTACGTGTACTGTGAGACACTCCGACTCCTACGCAGGTCCATCAAGAACAAAAGGGCTGCTCACGGAGGATGTGGTTCTGCTCCATGATAACACGCGTCCACACGCCTCCAGAGTCACACACATGGAACTGGCAAAGTTCAAATGGTAGACGTTGAACCTTCCGCCCTACAGTCCGTACATGTCGCCCTGCGATTTCTATGTGTTTGGTTCACTGAAGAAACGCCTGAAAGGGAAGTGCTTCAACACGGACGACTTACTCAAGGATGCTGTGAAGGACTGGGTCTCGTCACGGCCACAGGAATTCTGGGAATAAAGAATCCTATGGCTTGTTCATCAGTGGGATCGTTGTGCTCAGGCCTATGGTGTATACTTTGAATAAAGTCAACATTTGCACCCACTGTGTCGTTTCGTACCTTTTCATTTGATCACCCCTTGTACTATTGTTTTAAAAATTGTTTTTTTTTTTAAAAAAAAAAATCATGCTGAATTTCGTAGCCATTGAAAAGGCAATCGAGAAACGAAACAAACTTACAATGGAATCTGTGCAGATTGAACAAATTAAAAAGTGAAGACTCTAATTTGCAATTCAAAATGTTAAACATTTTTTATTTTTTAAGAAAAAAAAGTTTAGTATTCAGACACTATCGCGCAGCTTTTCAACCCAAGTCATGCTTAAAAAAAACATCGCTAGGAGTACAGAAAAGTCTCCTAATAGTATCCTTTTCCCAAAAATAGTTGCGTTTTTAGCCTTTTCAGGCAAAAAAAGTTGCCATAGTCACCTCATGACAAAAATAGTTGCAAATAGTTGCATTTTAGTCGCCCGTGGCAACACTGGTACTCTTACTGAATTACAGCTGGCATAAGTGATTCTACTATAATTTCTGATTATTAAAAATAATTGCTTTCAACTCTGTTTCGAAAAATACTTTTTTCACAAAGACTTTAAAAAAAGTAAAGATGTAAACTATTATTCATTTCTAGATTAAAATGAACTCTGCTTTCACTAAACCAAGTATGTTTTTGTCTAATATCTTCATTATTTATAATTTTTTTCTATCAATATATTATTTTATTGCTTTACAATTTAACTTTTTTACAATTTTTCTATTTAATTTTTTTGTTTTTCTGGATCTATGAACACAAAGTTTACAAATATGTTTTTAAAAAAGTCACAATCAACTATCGACTGTGTTTCAGAAGTAGGATTATCTATAAAATAAGTTCATATTTGTATTGAAGTATTGTTCTGCACCAAATTGTATTGAAGTATTGTAAAGGCACCAAATAAAGCAGAAAACAATTTTTAAACATAAATAAAAAGTAATTAAAAGGTATGTATTTATTTGAATGCCTGCCTAAACACAGAATTTAAGTTTTTCAAAACAGAATTGCTAAGTATCATAACAATTAACATTAATTAACACAGGATAATGAAACACCACAATAAAACAAACAGTAACTAATGCAGGATACATACTTCCTTCTGGTGTGGCAAATTCAATGGTATCAGATGAGGGACCATTGTAAACATCATTGAAGGCACATACTCGCACCACATTTCGAGAATAAGGTCGGAAAATGCTGACTAATGCTTCTGTGACATTTCTTGGAATAATAACTTCACGTAGATGTTCTTCTGATTCATCAGTTGTCCAAGTCTGAATCTAAATTTGTTTAAATAAAAAATACCTCATTAAATATTCACATGAGAGATACATTTAAATTAGTATTTAATTGACAAGTCTATTTTGAAAAGTCAAGAAATTTTTAATATTATACATTTAATCATGGGTAACTTTTACAAAAAAGGATTTTTTCAAAGGGAAAATAAGTATATTAAGAACCTAGAGAAACAATTAAAATAAATTTTATTTTTTAATATTTATATGTGTGGATTGAAATTTTTTTGTAATCAAAGCATTATAATAAAGATTGTAGTCATGATAGTCTTGAATGATATGCTGGGATTAGCACATGAGTGTCTAACACTTAAAAAAATGAAAGTCATCCAGTTGTGATATTATTACTATATTATGCTCAAATACTATTATGTCTGAGATTTTTGAATTTTTAACCATTCAATCTTTAAACATGAATTGAATCTTTTTCAATTCAACTTTAAACATGAATTGCACCTTTTCCAATACATTCCTAAAACTGGCTGACAAAATGTTAGCAAACCAGCGGACAAAAAATTTTACTAGGTAGATTATTGTTCACATGGCAGTTCTATGTGAACTATGATAAAATTGATAACTTAATTCAAATTTATTGGTCAGAAAATAAACTGCTTATTTAATTTTAAGATAACTTCAACTTCATAGCATAAAAGTTGGTATTAGTTTTATAAACCATGTTCGCAGTCATGTTTCGAAAACTTTAAAGGTTGCTTCAGTAATCATAAGCATATCACAGAAACTAAAAAATAAAAAGTGCACTAACAATCTTTATTGGTCAAAAGAAAAAGAAAGAAGTGCAATTTTGAAACATTTATATTGAAGAATTAAAAAAAATCTTACTTCTTAGCCATACTAAAAAAAATGCCTCAACAGTAAAATAATAAACAATCTGAAAACAGTTAACAATAGAATTTTGTCATATTGCTTTGATAAGAAAAGAAACACAGAGGGAAAACTGTATAAGTTGCTTGACTTGTTTAAAATTCGTTAGATCTGTCAGCAGCTTGTCGTAGAAAACACTCAAATACAACATTGCAAACTAGAATACATTATGAAGTATTTTGTAAAACTATTATTATAAGCATTAATAGAAATGTGGCTAAAAAAATTTTTGCACTTTATAATTAAAAAATTTTTTAAATAAAAAATTAAAATTATATACAAGCTTAAGTAAAATGTACCTTGTATCCTCTGAAATGACCATAAAGGGAGTCTGGGGACACAGGATCCCAAACAAAAACAGCAGACTTGGCATCTCTGATGTGCAGAAGACGAAAGCCTAAAGGAGCTTCTCTTGGAACTGGAAAACATTTTTAAACTTTTTTAAAACACATTTAAAAAAAATGCTCTCTTACATATTAAAATTTACAACTAATTCGATACTCTGACTCAGTGAAGTTTTCCTACATTTAAAAATACTTAATACCAAGAGTTTTTTTTAATTTGAAACTGAATTTTTACTAAATTAGATCCTGTTAATAAAAATTTGAAAAGAAAAATTCTTTGGTGATTTAAAATACATTTGGAACACTGAAATCCCTTCAAAAGAATAAGTTGTCAAAGAATCTTCTTAAATTACAGAAATATTTTTTAAAAAAATACAGTAGAATGTGAAGAATTTGATAAATCTAAAACTTTATGATAAACTTTATACAATTTATTCTCCCTGCGATTTTCCAAATAAAAATTTTTAATTTTTTAATAATACCAATTACAAGTACAATTTAGATTATTAGTACAATATTAATTCAATTCAAGACAAAACATATTTTACCATCTTCTCCAGAGTATCCAACAATTTCTTGAGCCGAAACTTTTGCTTGTCCTCGACGATTATGTGCTTCCACTTTGATACGATACCTTCTAAATGTCGGTTGATAGTCAACGACAAGCTTATTTTCATGCCAGTCAGTAATGGCTTCATATTTCCATTGTGATCCCGTCTCGTCATCTCGTTTCCAGAATACTTTATAGAAGAAGCCAGGAGCATTATGTTCAATCAGAGGCATAGGCTAAAATTAAACAGATTATTAGCAAATCATTCGGTTATTAATCTTTATAATATAAAAATTACATTATTGGCATATATTCAACAAAATTATAATCAAAAGAGAATAATTATCTGTAGAGTCAACACTTGAAAAGGCCCAGCTGTGTGTATATTTTTGTAAGTGCATAAAAATACCTCAAATATTTACTCAGTGCTAAAACATACTTGACAAATTAAATGTAGTAATTGATAGAATAATTTAAAATATTACAAATTATTTTTTATGATAATCTACACACAAATAAAATTAACCTTTAAAAAAATAGTTTATAGTTGAAAAACACATTTAAAAAAATACAGTGGTTCCGAAGCACAGTCAACACAGAAAGTTAAAACAATTTTCATTTAGTATATTGTCACTTTATTAAAATATTTACTAAAAATCCCATGCTTTACAGAAGCTACACTGATAAATGTTATTGAAAATTTATGAAGTGCTATGACGTCCAGTATCAGTAGATGTCTCCACTCAATAGCAAAGCTTTGCTTTAAACAATTACATAAGCTTTCAATCCAAAAATTTTTTTAACAAAATCCAAAAATAAAAACATATGTTTTTATTTATATAGGATGACATTAAATTTCCTTGAAGTATATCTTGCAAATTATTTGCTCAATAGAAAATTATAAAATCTTCATATTGTTATACATAAGTGTTACAATAAATGGCCAGGTACTTGGAACCAAACGGATATCAAAAAATTTGAATTTTATCGAGTAAACCTGAATCAGCCAGATAAAAGATTAGATTTTGATCGGATACTCAGAATTTACAAAATTTTAATTATTGGTACAACTCTTACACATTTTCTTTTAGCAGTTTGGAGATAGAAATGTGTAGTAGAAATAATGAACAAAAGGTGGATTGAAAACCTATTTTGAGAAAAGAACACAGTTTCCTTTAGAAGTTTAACCCATGAGGAAATGCTTCTACTAAGGAAACTTTAAAATGCGCAAAATTAAATTTAACATACACTACAAAATTGTTTATAATTTTTATTGGAAATATAACACTTTTGAATGTTAGACTTAACTACTTAAAGCTTTTAAATATTCATTTTGTGATAAATTTTTTTTTATATAAGTCACGATAATATTTACTTTTTTAACAATTAATATATAAATCATGAAATTATTCACTATATGATCGCTTTAGTTCAAACATGANGGGGGGGGGGGGAAAGCAAAGAGTAAATGTTCATGTGAAATTACTACTTACTGTCCAAGAAATTACAAGATTATCAGGCTGAGTTCCCCTTCCTATTACTTTGTCAGGATTTTTGTAGGGTACACTTTCAGGAGTTGCACAATGCTGAGATGGATCACTGGGTTCACTTGGCCCTATTTTATTTCTTGCTCTTACTCTAAAAGTATAGTTTGCCCAAGGACTCATTTCAACCTACAAAAAGTACAGTACGATCCACAAATCAAAATTAAGTAACAAGAATATTATTTATCTGATTCTAAATCTAACACGAATCAAAGTTAAACATGGACCAACATAAATCAAAGTTAAAAGCAATAATAAAATGTTTTAGGAATGTATGCAATTGTATATGCATAGAAACTTGAACACATACAAAAATAATAATTATTTCTCAATCTAATTTCATTCTGTAAAACAATGAAGTTGATGTTGATATAGAGATGTTTTAAGAAATTAGTAAATGTATAGATAATTTCATGATTTTCTTCTAAGTTATGCTTATAGTTGAAAAGGATTGTTCTTAGAAATGAGCAATTCAATATGCCCATAAGCAATTACATCTTTAAAGGTAAGTTTTCAAATGAATGAACAATAAAATTTCAATTAAAAATTCATATATATTTATTTATTCAGACAACCAATAGGGATCAAAAATCTTTTATAAGAAAAAAAAAGAAAGTGTGTAATAAATAGTTTTAAAACAACACATAATATAAGTTAGAAAATTTTAAGAGATGAAAAATCATCAGGAAGTTCAAAACCTACACATGTAAAATTACAAGAAATATGTGTTTTTTTTCGAATAAAATAAATATTTGCTATTAATTTCTATAATTCAATTAATTTCATTATCTGAATATTTAAATATTAAAATAAATTAATTAAAAATGGACATACATTGTATCGTGTATCAGGAGCTGGGATATGTTTGTTGACATCTTCCCAAGTATCTGGAGTGAAAGAAGTGTTATACTGAACATGGTAACTCAAAATGGGTGCTCTTCGGTCACCCATTGGTTTCCACACTACCAAAGCATAAAGCCCATCACAATCAACTTCTACTATTTCTGGAGGATTAGGTACATCTAAAAAACATAACAAAAAAACGTTAGTTTTTGATATTTTTACAAATATGTCAATGAGAATATTAAATACAGTATGAGGTACCTTCCTTAATAATTCTGCTAACTAATTTTTCATACTAATTTTAATTCCATAAAGATTAAGACTAAGTTAGGGGTGTGTAATCTTTTTGAGCAAAGGGCCATTTGTAAAACAAATTAACCATTGAAATATGGCATGACCAAAAACTTATACATGTCGACCGCAATTATGGAAATTTTTACCAGTGTTCTAAACACTAAAACCTTTTAAGAAGTAAACTTAGTAATATTCTTGCATTGAATTAAATGGTGTAAAATATTAGAACTCATTCAAAACTAAACAATCTAAAACTGATACTTGAAAAAAAAAGAATTTTGTTCTTTTAAAAAAAGACAAGCAATTAAAAAAATTCATGTTTATGAAACTAATGTAGAAAAAACCACACTGAATCACAATGAAATTGGCATAAATAAAATACAACGATAATTAAACATTCAATCATGCACACTTAAAACTTCTGAGATTCAAAATTTTTGATTTTTTAATTTAAAAAGGAAATAATATTTTTCTTTATGTTCATGTTAATTACTGACCACATGCATATTTTTTTTTAATATTTAAATCGCTGATTCTAAACTGATGCGATTTAAATTTCCCAATTTTTGAATTTTCAAAAAGGAAATAGCTTTTTTCCTTATATATATTCAGGTGCTATAATATTCAGGTGCTGTAGTGGGATGCAGATTGTGCTTGTTTCTCTAAGATGTAGTGAGATTAATCTGACATTATATTACTTAGTTAATTAAATTAATATATTTGATCATAATGATGATGTGAATTAATATTTATTTTGTATTCATACTTCAACTAAGTACTCTTCTTGCCATAAAACACATCTTATAATCTAATTGAAAAGGTCACACACTTGCTTTCCAGGAATAATAATCATTGTAGAAAAGAAGCTTTTTATTTCAAAAAATTAAAAAAAAAAAAAGGTATCTTGCAATGAGCATATCAAAATGTCATTTTACACGCCCTGAGAAATAAAGTCAATTGATTCCATCTGGAAATTTGTTGTGTATCAAAACTTGAAGAGGAAAATAATTTACATTGCAATATTCTCTTATATAATAAAACTTACAACCACATAGAGAATGACATTTAATGAAAATGACATTTCTTCACACAAAACTCAATATTTATGAACAAACTTTATTTTTCATAATAAGGTTGAATTTAAATTTTTTTTAGAAATTTTTAACAATTTTAAAAACAAAGACTAATGAAACATTTCAAAGTTGATAATGATTATGATTCTTTAATATTATGCTCAAAATATTAAAAAAAATAATAATAATTTATGCAAATTTTAGATAATTTAGTTAGAACAATGTTGAAAATAAAGAATTACAAAAGACTTCAAAGTAAATTAATGACCATAACGAAAGTTTCTAATGACAACGGTTTTTTAATGTTACATTTAAAGCAATCTTATAAATAAACGTATTCCTGTAAATTTTACACTATTTTTTACACATTGTCAAAAATTAATACCTATATTAAATTTTTAAAAAATTAAAACAATGAACATATAAACAATAAAATAGCAATCTTTACGATAAATATATATTAATTCAGAGCATTAAAAATTATTTTAGATCATAATTTTAACTTTTTTAAATGACAGCTTAAGACAGTAGTTGTCAAACTTTATTGAGTAACATGTACATGTGTTTTGCAGGTCTTGTCTGTCTCAATAGCTGACAAACGACAACGCCTCCTATCCATGGCAAATCCCTTCCAATTTCTAATTTATATATATATATACATATATATGCATATATATACTCAGTATTATCTGTCAGACAATCAAACATCGTTTAGCTAAGGAGTAACTTATTTTTCATACTAAACTATTTTTATTAAAAAAATATAGACAGATAATACATTGAGTTTCAAAATAATTTTAAATCTGAACATATTCTTCATAAATAAAGAAAAATAGAAACATTAAATGTTTGATTTCAACATAGTTAATGTTTTATTAAGAAATTCTAATATTTAGCTTAAAGTTAAAAAAAATCATATTAATATACAACTAACCTTGAACTGTAAGAATGGCAGTGGCAGTATCTTCATCTAAATCAGTCTTAGCAACACAGGTAAAAATACCAGAATCCAATTCAAGTGTCTTTGAAATGGTCAAGGAATTATCCGAAGCTTGAACTATCCTAGGGTCTTGATCAAAGTCTACTAGCTGACCATTAAATAGCCAATCAATCTTTAATAATAAACTCGTATCCGCTTCAGCATTGCATCTAAAGGTTGCAGAACTTCCAGCAGCAACTTCAAAGTTCTCAGGAGGCTGGGTGATTTTAGTTTTACCTAAAAAATACATCACAGGTAAATGCCAAATAACTTTTCAAATGCAATAACACGCAGAAACAATGTTTATTACAAGAATGGGTTATTGGTGAGAGTTGGGTAATTAGAGTAAGATTGGGGTTGTAACGAATATTTGGCCTATTTGTTGAATATTAGTTCAAATATTTGGCCAAATATTAGGCAAAGTATTATTTGGAAAATTATTTTTCAACAAAATTTCTTTTTTGGGAGGTGGTGGAATTTTAATAAATTTAATAAAGGATAATCTAAAACTGTATTTTTTACAATACATTAGAAATTGTTTTTACACACATTTGTTAAGTTCAGAAACTTGTTAATTTATGTTCTAAAAGTGAAGTTTGACGAACTGAAACTAGATTACTTGGTACTGAGCTATGAATTTTATAATGCTGATTTTTTTCTTTCTTTAATTATATTCAGGCAAATCGATTTCATAGTTTTTTCAACACTTTATGTCTTAAACGATGAGTACTTTTTTTGTTTTTCTGCTTTAACTATAGAGAAGCATGTTAATGGAGCATTTTTAATAGACTTAATTCTTTAATTGTCACTTTTTTCATGTACGGTAATACAGATAACTAGTAACATAGAAAACTGTGATTCTCGACATTATAGCTATATTTCAGAACTAAGAAGAAAAAAATTCTCTTCCTCATTTGATTTTTACATTAACTTTTATTTAACATCAGCTTATTTATTATGACAGTATGCTTTAAAAAGCGTTTCTAATAAACTTTATTCTTTTATGGTCACTTTTTCGAAAAATACGGCAATGTGAAAAAGTTAAATTAAGACTTTTACCATTAAATCTTTCGTTTAAAATTTAAGAATGATTATTGTTTTGGTTTCTATTTAGCTTTTTTTCTTTTTACAAATAACTTTATGGAGGTTTTTATTGGGACACAGCAATTAAGAGTGTTTCTATTTGACTTTAAATTTCCCTTTTCCTTGAAAATAAGCTAATTGGAAAGCTAAAATGCTTAACTCTAAAATTAACTTAAAAAAATTAAGGTAAATTTTTCTTCTGTTTTGCTTTTCTATCTTTGTTTTTAATAAGTGTTTTTATGATTCCACTGCATTTTTGAAAGTTTTCTGATAGACATTATCACTTTTAATGTTTTATGGAAAAAAATTTCTGGAAAATATTATTTTTAACATGAAAGTTTTGTTTTCTATTTCTTTTTTTTCTTTCAAATTTAATTTTTTTTATAGCCATTAGTTATTTTAAACCTTCAATATTTCTAAATATCTAACATTCATTTTTATTAATATCTAGCATTTATATTTAAGTTTTTTTTTTTAAACTTTTACACCAGAACTATTATACAGCTAAATTTATACTTTTACCAATTTAGCTGTATAAAAAATATTTTGTACAGCTAAATTGGTTATTTTTCAATAATGAGCTAACTAATTTCCATATAAAAAATTATTATGAATGATTTTTTTAAAAAAAGAAGAAAATTTCGCTGTTTGTCTGTTGAATATTTAATATTCAGCCCATTCTGTTCGCCGAATATTCAGCATTCAGTCAAATTACTATCCTTTACATCCCTAAATAAGATATTCAAAACTTAAAAAATACAATAAAGAGCAATATTTTGCTTGATGAATGAAATATTTTTAATAACACAAAGCTAATTTTTCAAGATTAATTACTGAAGAATTAATTTCTAAATAGAGTATATATACTTAACAAATAAATTCAGAAAGTACAAATAATGATGCAAAGAAAAATGAAAGGCCAGGAAAGAAAGAAAAAAAAAAGGTTTATTTAGTTTTAAAAAAAATGAAACACAAAATTTTATAAGGATATGAATTGTTTTCCTACATGAAAACTACTCAATTGATTAATCGATTAATCATTTATGTTAATCGATTGTTTCACAATTGATTAACATAACAAATAATTTTTATGAATTCCTTCAAATATAGAAAACATTAAACAGAGATAAAAAAAAGCATTAATTAATAAAAATGTCCTTCTTTTTAGAAATATTTGTTGTTTAGCATTATTCATATAAACTATAAAGCTTTTTCTATTTAATTAAACTTTTTCTACAAATTTTAAAGGCACATAATAAATGATTAAGTTCCAAAAATTTCATATAAATTTATTATCATAATGAAAATTTTATGAATGCTAAAAACTCAATATAAAACAAACAAATCTTGCATTAATTTAATATTTTATAACTTCATCATTATTGTTACAGTTGCAAAGATGAAAAAAACCCTACTTTACACCCAAAAATAAATATCTTTTAAGGAAGAAAGTGAAAAGGTTTCCAATATATAAGAATTTATTTATTTGATCTTATTTGAGAATTTATTTTCTTAAATTTAATCATTTTGTTCATAAGTCCCTAACTTAACTATCAGTTTACTATTTAAGAAAACAATATTTTTTCAAAAAAAAAAAAAAAAAAAAAAACAAANAAAAAAAAAAAAAAAAAAAAAATTTGCATTGCAAAATTAATTTTATATTCTATTTTGAGAATTTTAATTTATGTCAGATTATAAAACACTTAATTAAGTTTTAATCAATTTATGCTAATTTAATAATTATATTATTCACACTCATTTTAGACTCATGTGAATTATTTTATTTCCGTCTTCTCTCTACAAAGTATTTTTTTTCAAAGACAAAAAAACTTCTTTTAAGAAATAAATGCTTGTTTATTAAATAATTCTGTTTCACAATAAGCAGCAGGTAATTAATTTCAAAAGTAGAACATACCTTTAATTTCCAATTTTCCTCGAGCTTGAGTACTTCCTAATTTGTTACTAGCAGAACATGTGTAAACTCCTTCATCTGTTTTCAAAGCATTTGATATTTGCAAATCACCATTCTCCATAACCTAAAGAAATAAATCAATGTAAAATAGCCAAAACTGAAAATAATAACGACGAAAAACAAGAATAAAATAAAATTTAACATAAGAGATTTAAATTAATATTCACCTGATATCTTCCTCCACTCAATTCTTGTCTTTCACGAGACCACCTGACTTCAGGCTTTGGTGCACCAAACACACGGCATATCAAAGTAACAGTAGCAGTTACAACTGCTTTAGTGAGTGGCTCAGGTTCTTCAACAATGGTTGGAGGGAGAGCTTAATGAATTAAAAATAAACATATGCATGAGAAACTTCTGTTTTCTAATTGCATTAAGAAACAAGAAAAAAAACTTTTAATTACAAAAATGAAATGTTCTATTGCTTAAAAATATCTGCAAAACTGGAAAAACTTAAAACCTTAAGTTAAAAAAATTTATTTATGCTAATTTTGCTAATATATATATATATATATATGTAGAATTTCTGTTGTACTATTCAAACTAAAATTCATCAGATTTGAAACACTTCCCAAAACTGCATGAGGACTTAAAAAATTCAATATTTAGGACTCTTGCCTTGTTTTAATCAGACAAAACGGAATGTGACATTAAAAATTTCTAAATAAACTGGTCCCCTATTTAAAACAAAAGCAATTAAAATAAAAGCATGTTATGCATATTTGTCAGAATTAAGAATAACTACTCTAACAGACTTGTTTTAGATTAATCACAAATTTTCACTTGTATGTAGTATTATCAGTGTTTAATCACTACAAAGAAATCAGGATAGTCAAAATAAGATTTTTCAAATAAAATAAAAAATTGTTTTGGGAAAAAAAAGAAAAGTCTTTTTAAAGACTACTGATGGAAAATAATACATGAAAGAGTATTTAGGAAATACAGGTTAAAATAAGGAACTATAGGTTCTCTTTAAGAACTTATAATACCTTATAATTTACAATTCAGAACTTAATTATTTTCCTAAAAGGAAATAAGCAAATTTCATCAATTAAGTTAAATATACAATATATACAACATACAAATAAATTACCCTTAGACCAATAGAAAAAGAGGAAGACCTAAAAATACCTGGTGCAGGACTATTATATGTGAATTGAAAACAATAGGAAAGACATGGAGAGAATCAAAATATATGTCTACAAACAGAGTGAGAGCTACGATAGAAGCCCTATGCTCTGATTCAAAGCGAAGAGGAATATGTATGTATACAAATAAATTGATTAAAATACACAAACATTTTCTTATACTCAAAACAAAAATATTCATTTGAAAGAAATTGCAATACAAGTAACTGTTATAATACTGATAAAATTTTGCCGGGTTATATTATAATTAATGAGATAGCTGATTTTGTTTCCTTTTAAAAATTTGCCCATCTGTGACTCTACAGTAGAAATGGATAAAAGAGATTACCTTTTAAGCAACAACAGATGATTTCTGTATTTAGTTTTTAAGGTCAACTTCCTCCCCCACCCATAATTAATGGCATCCATGTGCCCTTTTGACAAAGGTAGCATATCGCAAAAGGAATTAATATTTTTAATACTTTGTGACTACTATTAATTCATAATCGCCATTTACTGCCCAAAAAATTTCAAAGTATTTTTACTTATTAGTGAGAAGCACTGAAATAAGTGTTGAAAGACATGCCTAAAAATATATCAGGAAAGGCAAAATGCAATTAATAAACCAAAAATTTTTTTTCTCCATATTAAAGCAAAGAATAAGTACTTTGAAAACAAATCAATATCTATCAGCTGAGAAAAACTAATTTTTAGATAGAAAATAAAAGCAATAGTAAGCAAATGGCAATTCTCAAGCATTCATTTGAATAAATATATAATAATAATGTTAAATAAATTCATAAAGAGATACAGTTCAGCTTAGTACAAATTATTTAAAAGATATAAATTGTAAGAACCTAGAAAGATGAATTTTAGTCTGATTTTTTTTACCAAGAATTAACTTCACGAAATATAAGCAATAATAATTACCATCATGTATTTTGACATGTGGAACATTTACTTAAATTTATAAATATAATAATTAATAAAACAAATATCTCTTTTACAAAAACTAACAGATAAGAACAAATTATTTAAAATGCAAATTTTTTTAAAAAGTCAATAAGAAATTACCTAAAACATTTAGATAAAAGTCCTTGAAAGCATAACCATGAACATTTGATGCGTTACACTGATAAACAGCTGTATCAGATTTTTCAAGACTCTCTATAATCATAGTATTTCCCTCAATTTTTCGCCTTGGATTTGTTGGAACCTCTAAAATAGATGGAAAAGATTCCAGGATTACAAAACTTTTAGAATTTAGAAATATCACTAAAAAACTTCAAGACTTATCAAATAATCAAGACAAAAATTATCAAGACTGTTTTGCATTATTATTTTTTAAGAATTTTTTTTCTTTTTTTTAAATAGAAAATTTAGCTATTTGTATTGGATTGCAAAAACAAGCCACAAAAGTTAATAATTAAAATGCTTCAAAACAAATAACAATGAGTGTTTCCAAAAATAAATATAATGATAAATAAATATAATGATTTATACATGAAGATTAATTGAAATGTTTTTACATATCTCAAACAATATAATGCATTTTTTCACTTAATTTTTCATAAATGTTGAAACTTATTGAAAAATCTGTAAATTGTATTATTCAGCGAAAAGAGTTTTGTGGTTTTTTGAAAATTCCCCAATATATGAAAATAATTTAATGATATTACCCTCCCTTGCTTTTATATTAGCATAGACAAATCAGATACAACTTTCAGTTCAATCTGAATAATAACATTAAGCAAAATAAATACAAAATTTATAAAGTAATCAAAATTAAATTAAAAATAATTCAATAAGAAATAAAGTAATACACATATTTTATAAAAGTGTTATCAAGATACATATCATTAAAGAAAATAAATAACTTGTACATTAAAATCAATCACAAAGTAAGAGAAGAATAAAATAAAATCATAAATCATTTGTAATGTATATTTACTTTCAATTGGATCTCCATTAATGAGCCATTGTAATTTAGGTTCAGGATAAGCATGAGCTTCACATACAAAACGTACTACTTCATCTTCTGCTGCATTTGTGTTATTAGGTGCAGTAATCCAATATGGTATGGCTAATTAAAGAGAGTTTTCATAATTTAGGTTCATGAGATTAAAAATTGATATTAATAGTATTTACAAAAACAGAAACTCTTCATTCATTTGGCGGCATTTCTGTCAATTTATTTTGAAACAAATTATTTTAATATTTACTTTAATAAAGTCAATTCTATATAAACTGAAATTGATATAGACAGAAACACACCACTTTTCCATCACAATAAATTCTCTAAAAATAGAAATCAAACTTATATATGACACACTCATTATATACTAACTCATACCTTCCAACATTGAAGAAATAAAATAACGAGATTTTACTAGCGACATTTTTTAGGCTACGAGTAAAGCTTTGATACATCATGCATAACCATGTAAGTCAAGAACAATTCAAAATTGGAAACAATATAAGCACTTACATTTAGCGAAGTAAAAAATATGTGTATAAATGTTAATCTAAAGAAGATTTTGTAAACCATCATTTATAATCATTTAAACTATAAATACTCAACATACCGCAGTACTGGCAACAAAATCTGTAGAGGAAAAGACAAGTATTTTTGCCATCAGCAGATATTTTTTAAAAATTTCTTCAACAAATACGAAGAAATTTGAGAATATACGAATAAACAGGAGATAGTTGTAATATACAGGAGTCTTTGTTAAAAAAACAGGAGGCTTCATGGGTATGCTAACTAAAACTATCAAGCCTTTACAGAAAATAAATAAATAAGTCATGAAAACATCATGAGGGGGGGGGGTTGCCACTACCTCTGAAGAGGTTGCTGTGGATTCCCGCCCATGTGAACCTAGAGTTCAATGAAATAGCTGATTCCTTGGCTAAAAATGCCAGAGATCTCAATCAAAATCATGTTGGCAGATGCAAATGCTTTTGCAAAGTCAAGACTAATTACCCCTTTAAAAATCAAAGCCCATAAAGATCAAATAACTAATCTTGACATCGATAGGAAGACAGCCACTACTCTCATCAGACTAAGAACAAAACATCATAAAAACATGAAAATTTCTACAGATAAGACTAGAAAATATNACACCATGAAATATGATTCAATAGAGGATACGACACCAACCAAACCAATAAATAAATCTTGTATTATACAATTATTGTATCAAGTTTGCTAATTGCTTATCCAACATTTTTGCTACTTTAGAGAAATTTTTAACTTAAATATATTTTAATAACTGATTAAATTGAATTCACAAGATAGCCGAATTATCATTCTTAGCCTAGTTCCGAGCTGAAATGTCTGATAGATATTTTATTACTTAGAGAAAAAAATTTTCCCTTAAACACTTAAGTTAATTTTAAAGAATGATAATAGATATGATAAAAAAACAATAAACATCTATGTGTATCTATCCTGGTCTTACATTTCACTAACAGATGTTATAGTTATAAAATCAAATCAATTAGCTCAAACTACTAAAAAACTATTGGATATTTTATAGTAAGTGCTGAAGATAATAATTTTACACATCAAATAATATAATTGTTAAATGAAATTATGTTTAAGTGGCTAGAAATTTATACATACCATTAACTGTAACAGAAACAGCATGAGTGATTGGTGTTCCAACCCCATTACTACCAGAACATTCGTAGGTTCCTTCATCACTGAAGTCAATACTCCGAATAGTTAGAGTTTTGCCATAGTTCTTATACACATATTTATATGAGTACAATTCACTGCCTCGCTTTGTCCACTTAATTTCAGGCAATGGACTAATGAGGTCAAAAATAAAAGAAATTTTAAATTATAATTATTAATGATGAATAATAATTATTATTATAAACTAAGAATAGTTTAAAAACTTACGGTCCTCCAAATATACAACTAATTTCTAATGGTTTTCCTCTTAATGCAACCATGTTTGGTGGCGATACATACTGCCTGATTGGGCGATGACTTGCCTGGCCAGATCCTAATAGGTGAAAAAGTAACATTTACACTCATTAGATTTTTCAGACTCTATAATTTAATTGTAGAGACAATAATTCAAATATCATGAATGTTATTTATGTTAATTCGTATTTGACACATAGCACATATTCATTAAAATGCAAAATTTCAGGGATCTTCTTTGAAACTTTAAATAAATAAAAATTAATGGTAGACACATTAAAAATTAGTAGTAATCAATTTGGCATTTGAAGTTTTTATTGATAAAAATTCTTTTTTAATTAATAATTATTTCGTTTTATTAAAGAAAAACTTAGCTTAATTAACTGGAGCACACTCTGTGAACTAATGCATACGGACAAAATTAAATTTTGATTTCATTCTTATAACAAATTTTTTGAAAGAAAGAATAAAACACTTTTTTGAAAGAATGATTAATTATCTTGATGTTTTAGTAAATTACCCAGTGGCTCACAAAACCTTCAAAAGAATGGTTTTTAACACAAGTCTGGTTAAAGCTGTCAGAGAGTGGAAAAAACGGTTAAATCCATCAGAAACTGGTTAAAACCGTCAATACTGTCATATCACCTAAGACAATTGTTTAAAAATCACAATGCATATGAATTGTTTAAAATTATATTTAAAACATTTAAGTACAAATATGAACAAGTATTTGAATGTATGCAAATAAATAAAATATTAGGCATATAAATGTTAAATTAAAAATAGTTATATCAAAATAGAAAGTATAGTTTCAAGCAGAAGAGAAAATGTTAACTTTACATTCATATTTTCCTTGAAAAAAAATTAAAATCTTACAACTGCATATCCAAATTATAACATAAAATTAATTTATACACAGAACTATCCAAAGAAAAAAAGAATAGTTTAAAATAAACATACTTTCATTAGAATAAATCAGAAAATGGTGTCTGGGTAAGCTGCACTTTGAGTAAATTAACTTTTTAACTTAAAATTTAATATTACTTTGTTTTCTTTTAAAAAAGGTAATGTTGTCATAAATAATAACTACAATATTTATAATTCTTAAATAATTAGATTCTACCAATAGATATTTGTTATTATATAATAGTTTACATTTAAAGAATATTTATGTCAAAAAGAAGTTTTTATTTTTTATAAAAATTATCTCTTTCAAGTGAATAAGAAAAGTAATATTTAATGCTTTACTTTATGTATTCTATAAAATATGAATAATAATATTTATACTAAGACATAAATTACTATTTAGGTTTTGACGGAAGGTATTTTTCATCACAATCAACAACTAAAACAAAAGTCACTTTTTAAAAGAATGGAGAGAAAAGACCATTCAAAAGATATATCTGATTGTTATGCTTTTCTCTTTTCATTGCACTGCTTTTTTTTTTTGTCAAAGATGTAGAGCAAAAATGAATAAGTGATATAATACTTTTGTGATTTTTGAAATAAAACAGTTTATGATTTGATAATAAGTTTAAAGACAATAATTTATTTTGATATATTGTTCAAATAATATAATTAATTTTGTTTAATATCAATAAAAAAAGATAAGAAGATAAATTAACATAACATTTCTAATATTAGCACACATTCAGTAGAAATCAATGAAAAATTATAATTTACCTCCAGATGGTTCGACTTTCAAAATGATTTTATTTCCGAATTTATATTCGTTACGGGATTTAGATGTAGCGCTGCACGCATACATTGCTTCATCTAAATCATCTTCCAAAGTTACATTTGAAAAATGTAAATCTCCTTCAGGATCAACAGTGATTCTAGAGCTATAAGTAGAAATTTTTTTTTTATCAATATTAATGAATGGCATAATTAACTTATTTTCAATAGAAAATAATTATTTGCTTGAAGAAATACAAAAAATTTAAAGCACAATATAATCCTGATTGTCTGAATATAAAATATATGCAATTATCTGATATTTTCAACTTGAAATCAAACATAATTGAAAAGATTGGTTGTCACTTAATTAAAAAATAACCCTTTCTTTCTGTTTCAAGAAAAGATTTTTTTTTTTTTTTTTTTTTTTTTTTTTTTTTTTTTTTTTTTTTTTTTTTTTNTTTTTTGATGACATGTTTTAAAATATTCTAAAGTTCATCAGCAGTGTCAGCTATTTTTTGAAACTAGGTAACAAAAAGTAATCAACTTTTTTTTCATCATACATCCTTTATTAATGAAAGATGTAAGTAGTAAAGATACATACATAGTGGATGTATATCTTAAAATTTGATAAAGTAAAAAAATAGTTTAATAATTAAATATTTATATTTGTAAGAAATTTATTTACCGTGTATTTAGTAAAAATTATAGATTTATTAGCAAAAATAAAATGCTTAGCATTTTAATATTTCTTGAAGCATAATTTAAATAAAAGAAAAACTTAATTAAAAGAAAGTTAAAGTAAAGAAATTATTATATTGAAATGTTCATATCAGACTAATTTATAATAGCAGCAATGAAAAGAAAATAAGTTATAAAACCAGTAAGGATTTTTACAAGTCGTTTAACAGTTTTAAAGCATAATAACAGATTTAAACACATATGCTGTCAATTTTCACCTTTTGCTTATACTTTAAGAATTTCCAGAGTAAATTGAGAATTTCGCAGGGAATTCTAAATTTTCTAAAGTATTTTGAAATTCCCTGGGAATTCGAGGTTTTCTCATTTTTCAGCGAGAGTGGCCATTAAAAGGACCAAAACTTTATATTTATAAAAAAAACTTTATTACGCGTTATGAAAGAGCTGACTATTTCACTTTAAGTTAAAATATAATAAATTTCGAATATATTAACAGTATGTTACCTATTTATAGTCCTTAATGATCCAGTGAATGATTGAATCATCCAAAAAATGGTTGGACGAGGATATCCTGTAGGAGGGTTACAGTTTAATGACAAAGGATCTCCTTCATTTACAACTTTTTCTTTAGCTTCCACATCAAGAAACGAATTCAATTCTGAAACATAGTTTTGACCAAACTTTAATAATAATCACATTAAAACAGAAAAAATATCATTAACAAAAAAAAAATTATTTTAATATATTTAGTACTCTAAATTAAAAAAAAAGAAATTAAGCACACAAAAAATTTTTTTTTGACACTTACACTTTTGCGTATCTATTAATCTTACACTGTATTACTTGCTAACCATGAACTTTTCTTACTTAAAAACGATAAATTTTTTAAAAGAAAAACAGTAAGTATAAACTAGACAAGTATCCGTTAAAGAAGTAGGTGTTTTTAAAAAACAAATTGTTAGAAAAATAATAAAAAAATGTCAATTTTAATTTCTTTTTATGGAAAAAAAAATGACTTTTTACCAAGTTAGACTGCAATTGAATGGTTCCAAATGGTAAAAAAAAAAGAAGCCTGGAGGGAAAAAAAGGGAAAGGATTTCGGCTTATTTTTACAAAAAAAAACAAACTCATTTATAGTGTTGAAAGGGCAGATAGAGCAGGCTGCCCTTCTAAATACGCTGAGGATAAAAACTGGTTCATGCCTAATAACAATGAGCATTTTAATGGAAAGATATATTTAAAATTTACAACAAGACATTGTTTATTTCTCAAAACTCTTTTTTAAAAAAAACTGAAATTTAGAACATTTCAATATCTGTTAAACTAATTGGGAAACAAACCTGCTTTTCTTAAAAAGACTGAATTTGATACAGAAGTGCCAAAGCGATTTGAAGCATAGCATTGATATAAGCCTTCATCAATATCTTCTGGCTTTGTGAATACTAAAGTTCCTCTTCTGGGCTGTTGACTTATACGCTTATCATATGCAACATACTCAAAATCAAGACCATTTTTCATCCAACGATACCTGAAATTATAGAAACTTTCTTAAAGCAAAATTTGTTTTGAAAAATAATAATATTGCATTTAAATTTTTCATTTTTCCCTCGAACACAAAAGTATAATATTTTATAATTATCAATATTCTTTAACTATTAATTTTAACTGTTAATTCAGATTTACATCTTCACAGGAATATAATTTTCAAAAAAACTTAATTGAATATAATTAATAAATGTATTAACTATAATATAATTATAACATTGGTAGTGAATGATAAAAAGAAATTCACTATTATAGCTTAATTTAATAATAAATGAATTTAAAAAATGAAACCTACATAAAGCTCAAGGTTTCTTGCCCCTATTACATTCAAGCCTATATGAGTTCTTTCATTTATCCTAATTCAATACAATAACCTTGCAAAGTATGTGAAACATTTGAATGGATCACATGAATTGTTTCTCTTTTGATTTTTCACATAAAATTTTGACAGAAAAATATGAGAATTTCATTTATAAGAAAAAATAAAATTAGCAATTTTTATGGATTCAATTTAAGAGACAAGAACCGTCCTAAAATCAACAATATTATGACACGCTATACACTAAGGATAATAAAAGAATGCAATTGAAAAGCTACACAAGAGTACAATATTTTTTATAATAATTTTTTTTTTAAATTTTAACATAACTTAGTTTTTCTTGTCTTCATCAAAAACAATATAAGAAGGAACGTTTGTGTTATGAAATTGAGATTAATTTACGGTAAAAGTTAGTTATAAAGAATCAAGTGAAAGAAATTTAGATGATTTGAAAAGACATTTTAATGAATTCAGGATAAATGAAATGCAGATTTTAATGCTGCAAGTATCAAACTTGGCTAGATTGCACCAATTTTGGAGGCTAATACTTAATCTGACGGCAACAAAAAGTATCAGAGTTAAACTATGCCAGATATTATGTGGAAAAAAAAAGGAGGAAAGGTCACTGGGATGACCCAGGCTATGTCTAGGTTTATCTGAAAGGTACCTCTTTCGTGAAAATTTAGACATTATTTGTGAAAATTAAAAATTATATGAAAAAATCAACACAAAAATATGGTAAAAATATGGATTTACAGGATACAAAAATAATATTTCAAGAAAAAGTATTTTGTGAAACTACTGTTTTTCCTAAAGTTGAATTTGTGAAAGTACTGCTAAATGGTAGTAAATTTGGCCTGGACAGACCCCTGTATGCAGTTCAGATAATGTGGACGAAACCCTCTGTGGAGTTAGGAAACATATATACTTCATTATTTTTTAAAGCAACAGAGGAAACCTGTTTTTTTTTTTTTTAAATATTTTAATTTCAATAAAAAACTACTTTATTTAGAGACTTGAAATAATATATTTGATATCTATACTAACAGATGATCATAACATGTTTTTAAACAATACTGAAACACATCTAGCATCATTTATTATAATGAATAAATGTATGCTCTATTTAATGATAAATAAATTAAAATGTGGAATATAGAACATAAAAATAGGATATACTCTGGCTCAGGGTTTCCTTGAGCTTCACATTCCAGCATGAAGGGGTTGTCTTTCTCATCTGCTGTTTGTGCCACTTGATATAACTGCTCGTGAGGAGGCTGTTTAACGATTGTGGGAGGAAAAGGCACAATTGGTGGCTCAGCTGATTGTCCAATACTTATTAAAAATGTTAGTGAGTAAAATGCTAAAAAATATATCGTAGTTGCACACAACATTGTCAAGCTCTATACGTCAAAAATAAAGAAACCTATAAAAGAAATAAAACATTCAGGTTTAGAAGAAAACTAATTTTAAATTTCTCATTTTTGTTGAACTTTCAAACCAGTTTTGCAAATCAAAACACTGTAATTCTAATTTAAACAGGGTGCATAGTCAGATTTTTGAACAAAAAATAAACACCTTAGAAGAACTTTTTAAGCACTCAAAAAATATTTTTAATCGCTTTCCTAAAAAAAAAAATCCTAATTAGGATCTGTGCAGTAATAAGAAGTATTTTACTTTTCTATCGCTTAAAGTTCTTAAGTTATAAACATAAAATCAATAGAAGTCAAAAACATTTTCAAAAACTTTACATAAACCTAATAAAATAACTATTTTTTGATAAATATTGCAGAGAAAATTATTAAAATAATGGATTTTTTTAAATTTAGAAAGACAACCAATGCAGCAAAAAAAAAGTGCTTTTTAAAAGATAGAAAATTAAGCACTTCTTACAAACCCTGAATAAAAAAAGCACCTTTAAGGGCTATTTAAAAATGCTATGCACCCTGTCAAAGACAAAATTAATAAGTCATACATCCTATTGACACAATTTATTAACCATACATACCATTTTCTGTTAATTAAATTTGTGACTTCAGAGATCATAATTTTTAATAACATAATTTTTCAATTATGCATCAAGCTTCACCCTATATCTGAATTGCATTTCAAGATTCCTAATTACTAATATGATAAATGAATCAGACTTCATGATGCAATTTATTAGTGGAATATTTTGATTTAGAACATGCCATTAACTTCTTGTAAATTAAAATGATCATAAAACAGATTAAAAGTTTATCTTCAGACAAATATGACTGATAAATCTCATCTTTTTACATAGTGTGAAACATTTAAAGAAAAACAAAAATGCCTTAGACTCACACACAAAAAAAAGATAGATATAAGTCATAATGAATTATAAAATAAATATACTCTCCAAATGAATTCTATAAAATTTATGAAAGAGCTTCCCAGAGTGAATCTCAAATGAAAGATGCAAAGTATATAGATTCTTCAATACATTTATGCATAGATATGAGCTGCAACAGTGAAGTTATAAAGACTCTGAGCTGTTATTATAAAAAAACAGGGTTATTTCTGGAGATCACTTAAAGCACACTAAGTTTCAGATTGATCAATAACAACTTACAAAAAAAAAAGCTTGATATAACACTGACTAGATTGCTGACATTATGCAGTCAGTCATGAAATTGAGTATTCAGCATGAGAGTACCTTGTTAACAATTGACTTTCAAAGGAGTGTTTTAATGCATATACAATAATTAAAATAAATAAATTAGGGACAAAATTTAAATAGTGGCTATCAAGAAAGCCTGGGGGAAAAAATGTAAATCAACATTTAATCCCTTAAGTTAGATATACAGTAAAAAGTCGGTACAACCTTTTTAAGTCTAAACCTGGATAAGACTATTAAAAAATTTTACTGCGGGGAGATTTCCATATCGCGATCTGTGGCAGAATTATCACCAAGTCTTAAAAACTCCCGGTCAGTGGTCCACAAGAAACTAAAAAATAACATCACAGAAAGGGACCAACTCGAAACTCGTCCACCCCCGGGGCAAACATCTAGATGTTTTGTTTTTTTTTAAAATTTGCAAGTTTAAAATCTATTTGGCGCCTTGGCGATTATAGTTGGCATGACAGATCAGGACACGGAAATATCCCCATCACTGGGTAGAAAGAATGAGCAAGCAACCATCTCCATCTTTCAAAGCAAATTTATAAATATAATGGTTTATTTATTCACACATAGCCAAATTTATTTAAATGTAAATACAAAATGGAAGAAACTTGGCAAAAAATTTTTAGCTTTGAATAAACATTACATTCTTGTTATGGAAGTACAATAATGCAAGACTATTTATAGTTAAGTATTATAGCAAAGGTTTGGTAAAAGATAAAATGCGTATATTTACATTATAAAATTAACATTATTATTTTGATAGATACAACAAATAATAATAGCATAACAAAGAAATGTGATCATAACTCGACAGTATTATTATTAGATATTAAATTCACGAACTATAACAGCTATAAAATGAAACTGATGATCAAATTATTTCGACCGTAAGAAAGTAAAATTCAAATAAACCAACATTTATATAAAAACATTCATTACGTTTACAGGCTGGGTATGCGAACTAGATAAAGTAGAACAATACACATCAAACAAGTGTTAACTTTAAGTAACTTTATAAAATTCTAGAAGATTACAAAATGTGCTTGTTTACTTACAAATCACTAATTAACTTCACTTTACCAAGGTATAAAAATATTTCAAATATAACAATAATTTTACATCCTGAGTTTAATAGAAAATAGTCAATAATCAAGTAATAAAATTCACTTTATCAAAATTTTTTTAATTTAATCATATTCTTTTTAATTTTCACATTTTCATTACAAAATAAATGCTTTTCAACCGTTTGTTATTAACTAGCAGCCCAACCCACACCAAGCGTTGCCAAATCGAATAAGACAAATTTTAGAATTTAAATGTATCTCACGTGATATTGGTGAATGGACAACATAAAAGAAAAAATCCTTGTGACGTCATACTTCCATTCCAAAATTCTTTGTCTTTGATTTGGACTTATAAATATTAATTTGATTTAGACGTAAAATATAAATTATCTAGGATTAAACATAATAAAAATTAATAAGATAAAGAAAGAATGTAAGAAAATCTAAAAGAGTAGGTGCCAACATTCTTTCATTAATGATTTAACAAGACAAAATTGAAATTTAAAAAAAAGGAGATAATAATGGCATGACTTATATACATTTTTTTTTCATAAACTTGTAATATACCTGGATACCTTCGGTAAAAATTTCAACACGTTCTTAAAGTCATTTAATCATTAAGATCATTTTTACAGTTCAAACTTTTAGAAAACAATTTGATTTGAAAAAAAAATAAGTGTAAAACATACTAATGACGGCATTTGATTGAAAATAAATAAATTAATTAATTAAAAAAAAAACAGATATCTGAAATTACGAGCTTAAGGGTTAAATAATTCAACTTTTCAGGTTGTCCTTTTGGAAAAATCAATGGTGTACTTTTTCAAATAATTTGCATTATGAGGTCGAGGTAACCTAAAACTAGTGCTAACCGAAAAATTCAAGCATCAAAGGATCCAAAAGCAATACTAATAAGCCTAGGTAGTCAAATTTAAAAGCTGGAAATTCTGAGCTACAATTTATGAATATATTTAACAATTAATGAATTTGTTATTGAGTCCATTTGAAAAATTTTGTTGTTGTTGTAGTTAATTTACGTCACGCTAGAGCTGCATAATGGGCTATTGGCGACGGTCTGGGAAACATCCCTGAGGATGATCCGAAGACATGCCATCACAATTTTGATCCTCTGCCGAGTAAAAAGAAAATTTTGAATTGCCATAGACGCGTATACGAATGTTTCAAAGTTACATGTAAAATGAACAGCTCAAGCATGCTCGAATCGTGGTGACTCGAAATCGCATATGTGAATTGTATACTTTGAGAATGCTCTATTATATGACTGAGTAGCAGTCAAACTTTGTAAGTATTGATTAGCTATTTAGAAGGGGGAAAAAAGAAAGGAAGAAAAGATAAAAAATAAATTTCTAGATTTTATTTCTCAGTTGTTGATTATATTATTATTAGGACTTGACTCATTAAATAGACATTTTAATTCTTTTCAAAATGACTTTTGCTATGACAGATTTTTGTGGAAATTGTTTGAAAGAATAGGATCTGAAATATTTTTATGATGGTTATTCTTTAGGCAATTGTATCAAAATTGAACACTCGAAAAGTTTAAAAAAAATTATTAAGTTAGTATTTTTGTCAAACTAAATATATGCGAAATTTGCTGAACATTTTAACTACTATTTTTTCCCTGCTAACTTTTCCTCCAACACAAGAGAACAAGTTAAACATTACTTCAACAAACGATAACAAACTTCGAGCAAAGTAAAAACATTACTTGTTAGATAATTGAGACAGCAAAAGAATTTAGTGTTCTAATTTAAATTTTTTCGGTTGTTAATCTTGTCATTAAAGTACATGACGCATCGAATAAGAAGTTTAGTAATCTTTTTATTCCTTTTTCTTTTTTTTTATTATTTAGAATTGCGAATTTTTTTATTTGAAAGAATGTACATTAAACTGTGCAATGACGATGTCAGTCAGGCATTTTAGTTAAAATAAGAAAATTCTGACTTAATCTCAGAGTAATCTCGTCATATTGAACATGAATTGAGCGTTCGCCTTCCAATGAGGCGAACCGGGTTCAAATCCCAGTCGATACGAATTTCGCATCCGGCTTGCACCGATCACAGTGCTGACGTGAAATATCCTCAGTTGCAAACGGATCATGGGTTAGAGTCTCCTTGCCATCAGGCTAACCGTGGGAGGTTCTCGTGGTCTTCCTCTCCATGCACCGCAAATGCGAGTTAATTCCATAAAAAATAGGTCCTCCACGAAGACAAATTTCTCCCTATACTCAATCCAGAAGTTCCATTGTCTTCTGGATTGGGTTTAAAATTACAAGGCAACGGCGTTAACATTAGTAGTCGTAAACCCCAAAAATGGATCGACTGTTCAACGGCGGTTTTAAAATATAAAATATTGAACATGGAGTTCAAAATTCTAAAAATCGAATTTTTAAAAGTCGTATTTTAAAAATTCGATTTCTCAGGAATTATTCAATCGATTTTGCTCAAATTTTGTATTTCGCCATCTAAACTTGCATGCTTTAAAATGATGTATAAAATTGTATACCTAACTATTCAAAATTTTTCGACTACTATTAAATAAAATAATAAAAAGTAATAAATATTTATTAAAATTTATTTTTTGCATGGAATTATCTTTAGACAGACAAATTTTATAATTTTGTGCAAAATTTTTTCAATTCGCTTAAGAAGTTCTCGATATATGGCGAAATACGCAAAAAGTAAAATTAACATCAAGGGGTCGATTTCCTGACCAAACTGTGCAGGCCATATTTCCCAAATTGCTGCTACGCCCTATATTTGGGGGGGAGGGAGCAGAAATCCGAATCCGTCCTAAAAAAGGTATGTTTATTCAGAGAAAGTACGTTTTTGTGTCTGATTTCGTATTTTAAAATGTAGTTTGCACTGATTAATTAGCATATTTGAGATCCCCCCCCCCTTGAACCATTAAGATTGAGTCCTAGAACGTGAAAACCTTATCATTAGATCAGTTATTCAGAATGATCCTTTTTTTCAGCATTGAGCAAGTTTAAATATAACAAGGGAGCCGCGTAAATTTGCATAGGAACAATTTTATGCGACATACGCACCCCTACCCGCATACGACAGCGGCTGGAAATGCTGTCGTATGCGGATAGAGGTGTGACTCTATTATTGCCTGCTCAGAAGCACACGAAGAAACAGTTCAAAACAGGGAAGCGGGGGAAACAGAATGGGACTACATATTTTAATCCTGATGATGTGTTCCCTAGAATGGGATGACTCCCCTAGGCTTGAGGTTTGTCGCAACACTTATGCGATGCCCTGTTTTTCATGACGCTTTTAAGCTTTAGACCAAAAATTACTAGTGTCATTTTAAAGAAAAACTGCAGCTTGGAGAGAAAACCCGATTACAGATTTAAAACCAGTGAAAGAATACAAGATCAGTTAAAAAGAATCCCATTAAAAAAACCGTTTTCCAGTGCAATTAACTTGACAGAAAAGCTGCAGCTTGGAGTGAAAAACCGATTACAGATTTGAAACCAGTGAAAGAATCCAAGATCCTTAAAAAAAATCCCATTAAAAAAACCGTTTTCCAGTGCAATTAACTTGACATAAAAAAGGAGTCTAACAAAGCAATATTCATAAAGGATAGTATTTGAACAACATATTTACATAATACATTTTTTTAAATTCATTACACAACTAAAACCCATATATTCTACTGTAACTCTAGATTTAAGGCAATTATATTTTAGGAAGAGATATTCTTAAAAATTTTCTAACAACTAGAACTTAATAAATTAAAATATACTTAAAAAATTACAAGCTTCAGAAAAAAATTTAACTTCTTTCTTTGAGCAAGTACAGGTCTTTCTCCTAAATAAATATTTAAATTCAACGAGAGCAAGTAACTGTAATCCAGAGCATCGCTCGTTTTCCTTTTCCTCTATTATTCAGCGGCTCGTCAGCTGATCTAAATATATTAATGCTGAATGATCTCATTTCCGTTTACTTGAGATCCAAACATGGTAATAGGTTTTAATATAAACAAAAAAATTTATACAGTGGCCTTGAGATTATTCTTCCATCTCATCAAAACGATGCAGTCATCATCAGTTATAAGTGTGCTAAGTATCAGGAAGTAAAAGATAGTGAGAGAAATATATTTTGAATTTATCTTCGAAAGGATTTGAATTTATATTGATTAATGGTTTAGTGGAAAGATTATGGATTTGTTATGCAGTTTTATTGGGAAGCTACAACGTATTAAAAATTATTTATTGAAGGGAAAGAAAACAAAAGCAAAATTGAAGTGTGGTTTTTTGAAATTAATTTTTAAACAAAATTTATTATATTTATTATAATTTTTTTTTCACCCCACAACTTGAAAACACCTGGACACTTTTATATTTAAGTAAAAATTTCTGTCATCGAGTTGTCATTATATATTAGAGATGTGGCGGATCCTTAAATTTATAACACTCCGGGTTACCGCAGAAAATAGAATGCCTTATCCGGCCGGTTCTGGGTATCCGGCAAAATTTTAATTTATTACCCGTTGTCTCCGGGTACCCGGCCGAGTGTCATAACATCTATGCAAAACAACATAAAAATCGTATAATTTTCAATAGAATAAATATTTTACAAGATATAATTATAAAGAAATTTATTTCCTTGCTTACTTAAATAAAAACATGTTTTTATTTCTGGATTTTTTTAAAAAATTATATTTTAAAAAGGTTTCTAAAAAAGATTTAAGATGACTGTTAGGGTGTAGAAATGATTAACGTACTTAGCGAAAAATTGTAGTCATCTACTAATGGTGAAATTTGATTAAATTATTTTTCATTTGATTTGCTTAAATTTTCAATAACATTTATTAATGTAGTTCCTACTAAAAGGAGAATATTTTAAGAATATTTAGTGAAAAATGTTTTATTAGTGAAAAATGGTTAAATTAGTGAAAAATGGTGTATTAAATGAAAAATGTTTTAACTGTCAGGGTTTAATTTTTAATCATCCGATAATTATAAACGGAACTTACCTTAGTATCATTTATTAAACTTTCGGTCAACTTATCCTGATATTTCGAAATCCCTTGAGATAAAACAACATTTTAGATTAAGCAAAGAGCAAATAGTTTTAAGGAAAAACTTTTCTGTGAAACTAACAGGTATTTGTGTTAGACGGACGAAAACCTTTCATTGTTAGTCTGGCTGCAAGAGATCATTAACTTGATTGCATGGAAATCGAATTTATTGAGTTAA